ACTGCACAGTAAATTAGCAAGATTTAAGCAAACAGATAAGTGTGCAATAAACTACAGATATCCCTGATAACACTATGTTTCATGAAGGCGATCGTATCAGTTTTCACTGTTTCATCAACCGAGATACATCTTTTGCTGCTGTGTTTTTGTTAAAGTGAAAATGGAGAGCTCTAAATTGACGCAAAGGAAAAATAAAATGTCAAAGGTAAAACTATCTTTAGTGACATCAAATTAATTGGCATGCAGATACAAAGAGGTTAGGTAGCCAGTTCCTCTGTGGTTAAGGATTCCTGAGGATTCCGAGTGAATCTCGCATCCACCTATGGCCTCATCATCACTTTTCATCAGGTGAGATGCAGGCCAAGAGCTTCCTCGTTATAGACTCAGATCAGATTGAAAATCCGGAGATCTCTGCAGATTGGAAATTAAAATAGTTATTCACTTTTCTTTCTCATTAATGCTACCTCCAAACCAGTGAAGGCTGATACAATCAGTCTTTGTACCTGCAAAATTATTTAATCTATATAAATAAAAATGAATTGCTGTTCGTTAGTCTGATTAAAACTCGAGAACGGCTGGGCCGATTGAGCTGATTTTGGTTTTAAAATGTTTGTCGTAGTCCAGGGTAGGTCTAAACGGTGAGCAAATAAGGAAAAATTGCGATGGCTTATATTGCCTTTAAGGCGGAACAGAGTTCGCTGGGTCAGCTAGTAGGAAATAGAATAATCCTATTGTACGTGATGTTCTTCATAGTTTCATACATTTCAATAGAGTTGTTTTATTAAACAATCGCCCCGTCAAAGCTGGTGAGTTTAGAACGATGAACTCACAACTGAATTTATTACTCATCAATTCGTCATTAAAATTCGCACAGTATTTGGTAACATGATTTTGTTCTCTAAGAATTAAACTGTTTGTTGTAACTTATCTCGCGTATTTGGAAAAGTTTTCTTGAATCGACAAAACCTAACTTCTTCTCGCCAAGCTTGATTTAATAGCTACTGAAAAAACCCAAATAATGTCCCTATTCTCCAATTTTCAACGCCAACCAGGCATCAGCTTCTTATAATTTGGTCAATTCCCTTTTTTCTATACCCAAACACTTATCTTCGTATTGATCGATCACATTTGTCGTCGTTTCAGCCGAAAGACGTCCACTGCTGGACAAAGGCCTCCCCCAAGGATTTCCACGAAGACCGATCCTGCGCCGCTCGCATCCAGGCACCTCCCGCGACCTTCACCAGATCGTCGGTCCACCTAGTGGGAGGCCTGCCCGATCACATAATTAATATCATTTGATGGTAGTTTCGCTATACTATAGGCGAACCTTAACCCAAATTGCTACGATAATGAATATAATAGAAGAATTCTCATCTTATTCTCATCTCAACAACTTTGTGTATCACTCAAGATCGCGTTAAGTCAAAACACCGATAAAGTGAACGAGTGTGATTTCGACGGTCGTTGATAACGCTGCCCTTTCTGAAAACTATTGATAAAGTTTAAATCTATACTAATATTATAAATGCGAAAGTAACTCTGTCTGTCTGTCTTGCTTTCACGCCTAAACCACAGAACCGTTTTGATGAAATTTGGCATAGAGATAGTTTGAGTCCCGGGAAAGGACATAGGATAGTTTTTATCCCGGTTTTTGAAATGGAGGCGTGCGACGGTGCGATAAAGATTTTCTGTGACAGACAAAATTCCACGCGGGCGAAGGCGCGGCCGGAAAGCTAGTAAGAAATAATCCAATAAGTGCGATAGTTAAAATATCTAACGCCTTCTGATTCATTTCACATGTAGTCATACATGGGTGGTGTCAAAAATACCCTCGTTTAGGTAACAGGAAACAAGATTTTGAAACTTGACCGAGGAGTGCCAATAAAATTGTGATAACCAAACGGAAACGATAAAATATTTCTATCAATTTATGTCCAGACCTTGGACATCCTTGGATGAATAATCCAGACCTAGTAAAGGACCCAGCGTTAATATAGGTCTATAGTTCGAGGATCGTGCTATAGATGACCCAAGCAGAACTGTCCCACCAAACTCAATGACAGGGGGGCGCTACCATCGGTCAACTATATGGTTTCCAACATGGCAAAAATCGGAACCAGTGATCCGGTATTGACGGTGGCGCCCCGCTGTCAATGTCATGCATAGGACAGTTCAGTATTTTGGAACTATAAGTGTTTTCCAGATCATTATAGTCTATCCAATATAGCTTGATTAGAATGACGGCTGTCAAACGAATGTGACTAGTGATGGGTATGTTTCGTACGGTTCACATAGATGTATCGATAAGTTTTCGAAAAAATGATATGAAAAAATGCACCCAATTTTTCTTCATATATCTTTATTCATAACTAGCTTTCCGCCCGCGGCTCCGCCCGCGTGGACTCCATATTTTTTTCCAAAATAAAATGTAGCCTATGTTACTCGTGGATAATGTAGCTTTCGAATAGTGAAAGAATTTTTTAAAACGGTCTAGTAGTTTTTGAGCCTATTCATTACAACCAAACAAACAAACAAAGTTTTCCTCTTTATAATATTAGTGTAGAAAATGACAATTATGATTTAAATTTAACCCTTATCTTGGCATGACCAAAAATTAACTACGATTTTATTTTTTTTGATATTTATGAGTTAAATATGATCCTAATAGGCCAATAAAAATGTTTAAAAAAATATATTGTTTTCAGTTTTTCAGAAACCAGGTGTATCATATATGATACACTGCCAAGATTAGGGTATAGAAAATTAAAAAGCTAAAATATTCAAAATATAATTTTGAATGAACAAAAACATACATAAATAATTTAAAAAGGTATTTTTTAAACTTCCTTATCAAAAGAGAAACTCAGAGTGAAAAGAATATGCCAAATCCAATTATAGCAAATAATAATAACTCGGACTCTTGCTTTTTATACCTACTAACAATGATAAAAGTCATAAAATCGAATAACTTTTTACCACATAAAAGTTGATTATATTTTGTGCATTTTATATTTAATCTGCCTATTTTTCTAGTTTTATATTTTCCACAAGAAGCGAAAATAGGCCAACATTTTCATATTTGACGGCATCAGAAGGTAGCGTGGATGGAGTTTAATAGATTTTTATGAACTAATTGCACTCCACAAGCTTGTCCACTCTAATTACTGTATTTCCTACTAATGTAACACTAATATCTTTTAAAAATACGCATTTTTTCTTAAATTATGATTTAAAAATACATCACGACGCACTTGGCAATGTAACATATATGATACACAGGCACATGGACGGTTATAAAATCGGCAAGTAGCAATACACACCATCCAAACCAAACGAAAAACTCAGAGTAATCCTTCTTCTGTAAATTACATACAGAAAATAACATAAATATTTTGTGATATCGCCAATAAACAAATAAACTTACCACGCGTTTGAAGCCAACATGCTTAGGTTAACCAATTTTGGCAATAACTGACAGCCAAATGTATTTTTGTGTGAATAGTTTTTTTTATCTCATTCTATGATATATCAGGAACGTGTTATGTATAAAATAAATTATTTCTAAAGCTTTCGCTGCCCTCAGGATTTTTTAAATTATGATGTATCACCCGTGTTACGATGCCAAGAAAAGGGTTAAAGACAGTAAAATTTAAAATTCATGTCAAGGGTGTACAACCTAAGTCGAAGTCATTATCATCAGTGTTCTTCAGTGGGTTTTTCCTCTCCCTAGAGGGCGGTGGGCATCTCTTCTAGAGCAACGGTGCTATGAATACCCAAAAAATTACCGGTGATTGATTTCCGATGTTTGATTATTTAAGAATGAAATGTTTTTTGGTTTTTAATAGTGAACATTTAGAAAAACGTATAACTTGACTTAAATATGTTAAAAATTAGTAAGAAAAAAAATTTGTTAAATATGTTAAAAAAACAGTTTTAATTTAAAATGACTTAAAAACTAAAATTTTAAAATTACTAATGATAAAAACTATTTACAAAATAAAAAATACTTCACCCCCAGCGCCGCAGTCAGGAATGGTGCCCAAAAGGCTGGCAGCATTGCCACGTTGAATGGCCAGGCTAATTCTCTGGCCGAAATAGCTGCCAGCCTTTTGATCACCGGTCACCTCGGTGAGCCTCTTTGCCAGTTCCTTATAAAAGGAATGAGCGCGCGCTTGGACCCCATGGTTTTAATTTAATATGACATTTGTCGATATGTCCCAACACTAACATTTTTGTAAGTCGAGATAACCTTGTAAAGACGTCGTTAATACTCTAGCTTGATTTTTATAATTTCGAATTACTACTTATTGATGTAATTTAACGCTGCATTTACACGAAATTATCATTTTTATTGGAAGCACTGTCGTCGAAAATATTGTTTGTAGGTCAGACGTGAATTATTTCTTGTCCGCCAATATTTAGCTCTCATTGATCGCTACTACAAAGTTATGTCGTTACTTTTGATGACAGCTGTCATTCTAATCAAGCTATATTGGATGGACTATAAAAAAAATAGCAAAGCTGTCATTACTGACATACATCACTATAACACATCACAGATTTTGTATGGCGGATAGGGTAATTATTTCACTTAAAATTAATTTAAACATTTTCTATTAAACCAAATTTCTGGACCAGGGGTCTTGCACCGCATTTTGTTTTCTTAACCATATTTTTTTCGCTTCTTGTAAAAGGTCTATATCATTTATGCAGTGCTGATGACTACAATAACTTCAGGACTAGAATCAGATCCGGCGTGGATCTCCAGATTTTATCAAAATTTTAGGTTCTTAGTCGGGCACTCTCGTCAGAGTGGTCGTGGTTGCGCTGATGAGGTACACGATGTCATCTCCGAGGGTAGCTCTCCTGGCGTTTTTCTTCCATTTCTGACGGTTAGAAGCGTCATTTAGGTTCATAATATCCGCACAAATGCTGACAGAAGACGTTTCAATTTGTTGACTCCACAACCCAAATGTTTATGTCTTCACTATGTATTTCAGAACACGCCGCGGGCTTACTCGGGCTTACCTACAGACGAATACAATGAGAAAGGCGACGAAAAGCCCTGGCAACGGGTTAATATAGTTCATATTTATTTTGCAAGCCAGCTTTTTATTCGAGACACCTGACATATGGGAAATTAACAGATAAAAATTGTTCTCTTGAACACTGGGCATTGGCTAAATCACTGCAACTGCAAATAAGCGGATAAAAGCATAAAAGATAATCTCCAAAATGTTGCGTCAGTGACTCGAATGAAAAGCTGGACTGTAGGTAGATGATACAACTGGAGTATCTGCGTTTAAAATAACGTGTTCTTGTTTCAAAAACATGTTATAAAATAGACTACTATTTAGTTCTTTCTAACTACAACATGTTGCTTACACTCAGTTACAAACTTGTAAAATACTTCGACGAAGACAGTGGTTCTCAAATACTTTTTTGATGCCCCCTTCGTATTTCTTCAAGTCGGATTCAAGTTCGTAATTTAGCTTTAAATAAATGGAAAAACCAACGCATTCTTGTTGTGATAATCTGGCTTGAATTTAAATCCTAGTATTTATTGTGTTACCTACTAATACTTTTTACTAAATTTTGTGAATAATTTTGTCATCTCATTATTTTATTGTGATAACTTTATCATTCATCATTATCATCTATGTGACTAATCTTTTTTTTATTCATTAAGAATTATTATCATCTTTTTAATTAAATATCTAACTATTCGTTCTAAAAATAGTTTTAAAAATAATATTTAAAATATTAGTCTACTTTAATATTTTGCAAATAATAGGTTTTAATTCTAGGTGTTGTACGAAATCACAAGAAAGGGAATTCATTTGTATGAACCCGTGAAATCAGTGAGTAAATAATTAAAAAAGGGAATTTCGCTTTGTGTATGTTAAAATTGTTATTGTTTTGGGATGCACTATAAATTTGATTTACCTTATCGGGTTCAAAAAACACGTCTTTTTGTTTTTGGGAACATACGGTTGCCACTATTCAAATATGCACTCTCCGTGTATTTTAACTAAGGATTAAGGTCAAGCTTTTAAAATCCATATCACCGTAAATGTATGGAGAAAATAACTGTGGGACAGCATCATTTCTGGTCACTTATCCCTCATACAAGGCCTCGACCTTGTAATTACACTATACACTTCAGTCTTGTCTGAAAAAAAAATTACTTTGACTAGGGTTTCATCCTAAAACTTTTGTCATTTATCGGGGCTCTTTTTCGCTATTGCTCATGATTTAACTGAAAGTACGAAAATAAGCGTTAGAGAGTAGCCCTTTGTATCAACAATGATCTCAGAAAACTTTTTTATATCACTGGTGGGTGATTACTAGACCCAGGCGGCCATACGTTGTGTACGTAAATTATTGTCGTTGATTGATTAATATTAGTCAAACTATGCCTTCTAGAAACAAATTTACATCAAAACTAGATTAATCGGACTTTAGTTTATCATTTGGCGCCATAAATAATTTTCGTTATCATAAGCCTGATTTAGCTAGATACTAAAATTAAATGATAAAACAAATTTTAATTAATGAAAAGTATTAGAATCTATTCTATTTTTAACAAAGCTAATTATCGCGAACAGATTTAATTATAGAAGCAACAATAAAATAGCTCTTTTTAGACAAATTAAACGAATTTAGAATGAAAAGCACGCGTGTTTTCTAAATTTATCAGGGCTTCCTTGCTGATAATTAATCCGATATAATTTTACCCACATCGCGTGAGTAATCTTATCTGTATTAAGAATAGATTAAATAGCAAATATTTGATACTGTTGTTTATGACTTTGCATATTTTCATAAACTACTTAATACTTATTAACATATTATGTACACACATACACAGTAAAATAACATCGCCAAAATTATTTTTTGACTACAAACATACATTTGGTGGTTGGTAAATAAAAATAAATGTTATGTGATTTATTACAAAAAAGTTAAACGCACGATGATCACTGGTTTAAATTCACTTTTCCATACTAAATATGAATTTAAACTAGTAATGAACGCGAGTTTAACTCTGTAATAAGGGGATAATATTAATTGTTTTATGTTATTAAAAAATATTACATAATGTGTTTGGTGGCGGTTTTTAGATTTGGTTTTGGTTGGGTTGTATGTTGTTTTACTTGTGGTGTCTTGACATAATAACAATTAAATTAATCAATTAACTGACTGTGATAGTGTTATATTAAGACCATGTTGTAGGTACCCAGTATTCTAATAATCGTACTATTAGGACTGTACCTGCTGCTCGGTTTCCTGACGCAACTCATTGAGGATGACATGCCAAGGGTGGTGCAAGAAGTCAGCATCGGCAGAGATGTGAGTTGTTATGTATTTACACTTTTTATGCCCGGTTTCTAAAGTGAGAATGAGGGTTTTCGCGAATGAAAAATCCGCCAGATGGCAATACGTAGACGCGAGGTCCAAATGCTGCATGATTGGTTATTTTTGACAAGACGTTGACAGATATTTCAAAATCCACCATTCACGCAGCAGTCAGATCCACGTTCCGCCATCTAGCGGATCTTTCCTTCGCGAAAACCCTTGCTTTAAAACCCTTGTTTGCGAAAAAGCTTGAGCGTGCTCATTTTCTACTCAAGGTTCAGCCAAACCAACGCGATCACACGCGATTTATTATGAAAAGTTCCAAGTTCCTACTTGTTAAGAAGATAACCTCAAGCCAAACTATCTCAATGAGGGCTATCGTTTTAGCGCTCACCAGTTGGCGCCACTGTAGAGTAAGGTCACTTGCTAATAGCGAAGAGAGTGGCGCCGGCTGGTGAGCGCTATAGTGGTAGGAGGACTATTGCATTTGCGCTCATCAAGATGGCGCCACTGTAGAGTAAGGTCCTGTCAATCGCCAGGGGTGCCAACTGTTAAGTATAAAAACGATAGCCCTCATTTAGAAACCGGGCCTTATTCTTCTATGTTTGAGTATTTATAACAGCCTTTCTTAACCTCAGTTTTGGGACGAGTCGTGGGAATCTTAGAAAAGTTGCAAGTTTATTTTGACCAAACCATGGACTTTCTGTTTAAAGTCTGATTAAAACCTCATGGTCCGCTTCACATACTATGCCTACCTATTTACGAGGGGCGGCTGAAAAGTTTTGAGCCTAGGGTATTAAAAATGCCGATAGAAAAGTATAAAAAATATATTTTTCTTATTAATCTCCCTCTACTACAACGGACTTCTTACATCTGTGTAAAAGAGCTTTTAACCCACTGAAAAAAAATTCGCAATCTTTGCCTTCAAAATGAGCCTTTAACGCCGCCCTCATTTCTTTGTCACTCAAAAATCTTCGTTCCTGGAGGACTTTTTTCCAATTTGAGAATTAGACAAAATAGCTAGGGATTCGGACTAAACTGTGCGGTGGGTGATTAATTTCTTGAAATCCAGTTTTACCCGGGGCAAGCTATGCAACATGCGCGGTGTGCACGGGCGAATTGTCTTGCAATAACAGATTTCCTTTCGCCAGTTTGCTTCTTAATATTTCAACAACCACTTGACGCACTCTTATCAACAGTACAGCATAATAATCCCCGTTTATTGTAGTTTTTTTTAAGTAGGTAGGCAATGAATGAAATTCCTCCACAATCCCAAAAATAGTGGCTATGAGCTTGGGATTCGATCGCTCCACTTTGAATTTCCGCGGCGGCGTTTTCCCTTTTGAATCCATTGCATTGACTCTTAATCGTACTGCCGGGTCTATTATTCATCAGTAGTGACAATGTGAGAAAAAAAATTGTTAGGATTATGGCCAAAGATGTCCTAAAACTCCTGCGAAGTTGTGACTCGACGCTGGCTGTCGAGCGCCGTGAGCATTATTGGCACCCATCGCGCGTACCCCTATTTCATGTGCATATGAGTATGAAAAATATCGCCAATACGTTCCTTGCTAATGCCTATGGCTTCAGCTATCTGTCACAGCTTAATTCGCTGATCTCTTAAGCAAGATTATTTAAATTTTCATTATTTTATTCGTTAATGGCGAAATCTGGCCGCCCTGACTTGCGGTCATCTTTTAGCGACTCCCTGCCATGCTTGAACTATCGGATCCAATCTTTCATGGTGGCAAATGAAGGCTTAGACTCCCCATAAACTGTAGACATCTCTTCAAATGTTACCGTCAGCATTTTGTACCTCTTTTTGAGGAATTTTATGACAACTGTGTACTTCAATTTCGTACATTGCGCGGATGACTGAGACATGGTGATGTTTACGGATTAATTACTAAAAGCGTGATGACGCTAATAAAATGAAACTTTTTACATATACTAAGGAGGTTATTGGCAAATTAATTCAATCAAAATAAAGTCAATAATAACACTTGAAGATACTTAGGCTCAAAACTTTTCAGCCGCCCCTCGTATGTTTGGGGTCGCGAGCTAAAAAGTTTAAGAACCGCTGATCTGTATAGTAATGCTATTAATGGACTATTTTATTTCTTTTAAATCTTCTTATCTATTAACTAATATATTAATTGCCTGTACAAGGCATCCACTTAAAATCCAGTGTACCGCTAATGCTATGCAGTCAAGATGATACCGAGTGGGTGACCTCATTGGCAACATTTTTTTCTGGTGATGTATTTGTAAAATGTGTTACTTTGTTATCAATCAAGTTTTCTTTACTTTTCTTTCCAGGATTGGCAGACGTTCAGCGAAGAATCAGCGCAGCGTTACCTGACCCAAATCCTCGGAGGCCAGCCGCGCGTGGCCGGGACCGAGTTCCACCTGCAGAAGACCAGGGATCTCTTGGATCTGCTGAATGGTGTGGCGGCGCAGGCGCGACTGACTGTGAAGACTGACTGGCAGTTGGTCACTGGTGAGTGAGATATAATGCATCAAAGATTTGCCATACTGGATGCATTCTGCGGTCAGGTCAGGTCAAAGAGAACGCAGCCCGCAGCATGTATGAACAATATTCTTTACCTAATAAACCTACCAATTTGCTTACAGCCAGAATAGCATAGCATAGAATAGCATAGCCACGATAGCCCAACATTGAAGTGGTCGGACTGGCTGACTCGAGATCCGAGGAACGCGGGTTCGAGTCCCACCGCCGCTCGACTATTGTGGTGAGCCCACTCGTAACACAAGCTTATTTAGCTTAACACGAGGGGCTAACGGGACTATTATTAATTTGTGCAATACAAATTGCTAATAATCTTTTTTAAAAAATCCTCTTCTTATAAAGTGAATAAAACAATTTGTATAATGCAACCAACCGTCAACCCCATTTTGAACTCTTACCCTGTTGTAGCTTTATACAGTCAGGAAGACCATTAAACAATTTAATGCACATCTATATGCATTTCTTATGTAAAAAATTGTGAAAGAAAGAAAGAAAGAAAATAATAATTTACTGATAATATAATCTTTACTTTAAAAAGAAAGAAAAATAGGTAGTGAAATTGTGGTTGATGCTGTAGATTTACGTACTGCGCTCTTTTCGGTCGGATGGAGACTGTGACTTTTTCAAGGATTCTGAGTGTGAATTTATGTTATTTTCTGCAAATACGCCTTTTTTAATTAAATAAATTGATCTATTTCAATTCCAGGCGACTACTTCCTAAACTTCAGCGTGCCTTTCGTGAACTACTACCAAAACGTGTCCAACATCGTCGCGCTACTCGAAGGCGAAACCGGGTTCCACAGCAACGGCACCCTGGGCCCGGCCCTGCTGCTCAACTGCCACTACGACTCGGTGCCTTTTGCTCAAGGTAATAAGGTTTATTTTTATTTAAAACTAGCGGCCGCTACGCCAAATTAAAGCTTAATACTAGTACTTCATTTCATCTACGACTCGGTGTCTTTTGCTCAAGGTAATAAATAAATAAAGAAGAAGAAGAATAAATATCCTTGGACATTTACACTGCGCTTCTAGTCCCAAACTAAGCAAAGCTTGTACTATGGGTACTAGACAACGGATATAAACATACTTAAATGCTTTTTTTTTGTAAATACATGCTTATTATACATATAAAACACCCAGTCCAATACAAACAAATATGTATGTTCATGCACACAATTGTTTGTACTGTGCGGGAATCGAACCCGCTACCTCCGGAATAGTAGTCCGTTTCGAACCACTACACCAAACGGCCGATAAGGTTTCTTTTTATTTAAAACTAGCGGCCGCCCGCGACTTCGCCCGCGTGGATCCCATTTCAACTTCACCCCTAAGGGGGTACCCTTATAATATTTAGACTAGCTTTCCGCCCGCGGCTTCGCCCGCGTGTAATTTTGTCTGTCACAGAAAACCTATATCGCGCGCGTCCCTGTTTCAAAAACCGGGATAAAAACTATCCTATGTCCTTTCCCGGGACTCAAACTATATATTTGCCAAATTTCATCAAAATAGGTTCAGTGGTTTAGGCGTGAAAGCGAGACAGACAGACAGACAGAGTTACTTTCGCATTTATAATATTAGTATAGATTTTTGTTGGTTACAGGGGCGTCAGACAACGGTGTGTTTTGCGCGGTAATGGTGGAAGTGCTAAGCAGACTGTCCCGGAGATCCACGAAGTTCAAACACAATATTTTGTTCTTATTCAATGGAGCTGAAGAAAACCCGTTGCAGGTATGTTTATATCGGCTAGCGTCAGTTATATTACTCGTACAGTCAGCATCAAATAGTTCTCGACACCACACCACCAGGGGTCAAAAAGTTGATAATACCTTATTTCAATTGTAACAAAGACGTATTACGAACTTTTTGACTACTTTGGGTGTCATAATATTTGACGCTGAGTGTACCTAGTTGGCATTCTACATTTTTTTACGTGAGCAAGCTGCAGCCTGTCATAAGTTTATTCGCTGTAAGTGCTATTAATTATTATTAAGCCGGAAAGAATGAACCAAAGTCAAGGTTTCAAGTGAAACCACGAGCTATTTTGTTTTACTAACTGTCATTTACTCAATTAATTAATTAAATTATCGCCCATAGTGGCTTATTCCTATGCCTACCACACTTTCAAAATCCAATTTTAAGTCTACTGCGAACTATACAATCTTGATATGTCGTGAGCAAAGCATATCATACAATCTATACCTATAAAAGCGACAGGTCACTGATTGACTGACTCACTCATCACGAAATCTCAGAATCTACAAGTGCTAGAGTCTTAAATTTTGCATGGGGGTTCCTTTTAGAACGTGGGTTTGTGGGTTCCTTTTAGAAGGCCCAGAACAGACGGTGAAACGCAACTGCAACTAAATTGCAACTGCTAGTTACTTTTGAGTTGCTTTCGACCAGTTTGAAAGTTTCAAACTGGTCGCGTCATGTGTGGTCTCTCAACGGACGCTATGGCTAAATTAGATGCAACTCAAAAGTAACTAGCAGTTGAAGTTTCGTTGCAGTTGCGTTTCACCATATGTTCTGGGCCAAGACAGAATTTTGCAAAATAAAACGATAGCCACACGCGTACGAAGTCGCGGGCACAGCTAGTAACACATATTTGTTATTTACAGGGCAGTCATGCGTTCTTACACCACCCGTGGTCGAAGGCAGTGACGGCCGTGGTCAACCTGGACGCGGCTGGAATGAATGGGAAGCCCTCGGTCTTTCAGGTAACGTATCATACGCTGATGATCACCAGCCAATAAGGGCTATCGTTTTTATACTTAACAGTTGGCACCCTTGGCGATTGACAGGACCTTACTCTACAGTGGAGCCATCTTGATGAGTGCAAATGCGATAGTCCTCCTACCACTTAGCGCTCACCAGTTGGTGCCACTGTCTTCGCTACTAGCAAGTGACAGGACCTTACTCTACAGTGGCGCTAACTGGTGAGCGCTAAAACGATAGCCCTCATTATTGAGGTATTTTGCATTATTTTTATGTTTAATTAAGACAGCACTTAGTTTTAAGCACTTTTAGTTATAGTAATTTCATGTATGCGTGTTTGTCTTGTTGGTTGTCCTAATAAATAAAATAAATGTGTAACGCGGCAACGCTATTTCATAACGTTTGTAACGTTATCGCGCGCGAACAACGCAACGTTAGTGTTATCACGCCATCTCGTCTAATAGCGAATCACGCGGAAGTATGGTGCCGCGCCCTTTCCTCGGCCAATCGGCGCGAGGCAGTCCCCCCGCGCGTCTCGCGACTCACGCGGAAGCTTCGAGAAGTTTCCTTCTTCCCGGTGCGCGACGCCAACGTGAACGGTCGATTTTGAGCTAGCCTATTTTATATGTGGAAATATGTAAATTCCCATGATTGTTTGCCACGAAAGTTTTTGTTTAGTCGTAAGCTTGAGTTCAATAAATGAATATTGTGGAAACCACGATTAAAATGACGCCCAACTCGAGGCCTTAACCTACGAACAGTACCGGCAAAGTACCTACCGTGAGTGCAGCAACGTGTCGAAACCTGTTTTTACCGGCGTGAAAACAGTGCAATCTCGAACTGTTACGAGTGACGATGGCTTCCGCGACGCGATCCAAATGTGGGGTCGCAGGCAACCGCGATGACCATATTACCTTTTGAAACTATGTTACAGAATAATCTTGAGTTAGAGAAAATAATCTTTAACTGTTCGTCAGTAAAGTTCAAAATTATTCAGATGTTGATGTCAAAGTTGTTTGACGATTTATCTTGTCAAGAAGATTATTATGATTGATAAACTAAAACCTTCTTGTTGGTTCAACCTGCCATTATTATTTCTATTAAATAAAAAAAACTATTGTCAATTGGTCAATGTCATCATTGCATTGCACTGATGGGATAGAAAAATAAACAAGCAAAACCTTATTCGTTAGCAAACGTCATATTTATTTAAATGTTAGCAGCACTGTTTCTTGCACTGTTATGTTGGCAGGTTTGACTCTTACAGTACCTAGTGCAAGCGAAAACCGACACCAAGGTGACGAACCTTTTCATTCCGCGACTGTACAACTCACAAAACCACGGGCCATCATCATCATCATCATTTCAGCCATAGGACGTGCACTGCTGAACATAGGCCTCCCCCAATAATTTTCACAATGGTTGGTTGGTAGCAGCCTGAGGTCCACCTTGTGAATGGCAGTCCTACTCTGCGATTTCTGGTACGTGAACTCCACTCCAGAACCTTGCTGCCCCATCGGCCGTCAGTTTTGCAATGCAAATGCAATGATGAATGATGCAATTTCGAGAAAGAGGTAAATCGTCGAATCCTACTCGGCTGGGCCGCGTTCGGGAAACTACACAACATCTTTTTGTCCAAAATACCTCAGTGCTTAAAGACGAAAGTCTTCAATCAGTGTGTGTAACCAGTGATGATTTACGGCTCGGAAACGTGGGCTCTCAAAGTTGCACAGCGTGCTATGAAGAAGGCTATGCTTGGTGTTTCTTTACGAGATCTAATCAGAAATGAGAAGCTCCGTTAACGAACTAAAGTCGCTGACATCTATAGTCTGACGGACTAGCAAGCTGAGTGGCAATGGGCAGGGCACATAGTAGGTACGCAGAACTAACGGGCCATAGTCCAATTAATGTTTGGAAGGGAGTTGAGATGTCGTTTTTCATTGCTAAGACCAAGTACGGCAAGTGTTATTTAGAACAAGTAAAATTTACCATAAATATTTGCAGTGGGACAAAAAGTGATGGTGAGAGACAAGAGAAAATCATTGGTCTTTGCCAATCATGTACTTTCGGCTTTGTGGCAGGTTGTGGCGCGTTTAAACGCTTTGTTTAAAATCTCAATTAAAACCTTTATCTGATTCCGATATTACGATATTGGGTCGTTCAATATCGGAATTGTAATATCGGATCTCGTACTCCGAGATTCCGATATTACGAGATTCCGTGATTCCGATATTCATGCCCTACTAGAGATGCTCATGAGAAAGCCCAGGCGATCCGGAAGAAATACGCCGACGAAGGTCGTCGGCCGCCGCCCGACTATAAGGTAGGTGATTTGGTCTTGCTGAAGACCCAGGGTTTGAACGACACTGATCGAGGTCAAACCCCTAAGTTTAACCCTAGGCGTGACGGCCCGTATAAGATATCGAGGGTCTTGAGTGACACTACTTACCTCCTGGAGGGAGAGTCTGGAGCGAAGTTAGGGAAGTACCATGTGTACGAGCTATCGTACAAACGTATTCACTTTTCATATATCTAATAAGTTATTGCTAAGTAAGCGTTTGCGCGGTTGACCCAAATTAGCGTAAAACGCATTGAATACGTTATAGCAATAAATCAGTGTATTTTTAACAGTCACTCAAACTGGTCGTTTTCATCCCACCTCTCTCCCGACCCTTCAGCATCACTCACATCCTCATAGCATAACATCCTTACCCTAGCATTCTTTAATGTAGGAGTTACGCCCCACATTAAATGGTCCTTCGATCCTACGGACTGGTTTGATCTCGCGTTTCCGGTACAGTGCAGTATAGTTCGCGTTGTCAACTGACACGTTAACACCACGTCACGGAACGTGTAACCAGTGAACTAGTGCTCTCTAAGTTCTTGAAGTGCTATCATCAACGCAAGCCAGGAGGCTTGTACTCACAGCATCAGCATTATAGTACCGGCCAGGAGGCTTGTACTCACAGCATCAGCATCAAAGTACCGGCCAGGAGGCTTGTACTCACAGCATCAGCATCAAAGCACCAGCCAGGAGGCTTGTACTCACAGCATCAGCATCAAAGTACCGGCCAGGAGGCTTGTACTCACTCAGAGCGCATCCGACCTGCGCGAGAAGCAGCTTCAGGACCCTGAGATCAAGAGGATTATAGACGACTTGGAGACGGAAGACGAACCCTTTAGGGGGAGACAGTGGTCAAACCGCGGCTACGTGATGTCAGATGGAATTTTATACAGATGTGGTCCTGAATCCGACGAGAATGACGACGCGTGCTTAGTTGTACCGACGAGCGAGAGAGCAAAGGTCCTCGCTGATTACCATGACGCACCGACGGCTGGTCACATGGGAGTCGAGCGCACGCTGCACCGGATCAGTTCACGATTTTATTGGCCTGGTATGAGAGCGACTGTGGCTGAGTATGTGAAGAATTGTGTGCCCTGTCAGCGGTATAAAGCTGATAACCGCAAGCCAGCCGGCCTTCTTCAGTCCCCTGCCGGAGCCCGCCGTTTTGAAGTAATGTCTGTCGACCTTTTCGGTCCCTTGCCTGAGACACCCGCGGGGAACCGATGGATTTTGATTGTCGAGGATGTTTGCAGTAGATGGATCGAACTCTTCGCATTGAAGAATGCCACCAGCGTAGAATGTGCCAAGACCCTTATAGAGGAGGTTTTCCTGAGGTTCGGTGTGCCGAGGAGGATGGTAAGCGATAATGGCGTGCAGTTTGTTAGCGAGATCATGCAGCAGGTCTGTAACACGTTCGGGATCGATCAGTGCCTGACGCCATTCTACCATCCTGAGGCCAATCCTGTGGAGAGAAAGAACAGAGACCTGAAACCTCAGCTGGCAATCCTGGTGGGTAGAGATCATTCGTCGTGGGACGAGCACATAGCTTCCGTGAGGTTTGCGATGAACTCGGCATTGTGCACTAGTACTGGGTACTCACCTGCGTTCCTTACCTTCGGGCGGGAGCTGCGCGCGCCTGCCGACGCACTCACTGACATGAGGGAGATTGTGGAGAATGATAAGTTCGTAGCTAATATTACCACTTACCTTAGGAAGCTGTCCTCCGCACTCCTCGACGCTAGAGATGCTCATGAGAAAGCCCAGGCGATCCGGAAGAAATACGCCGACGAAGGTCGTCGGCCGCCGCCCGACTATAAGGTAGGCGATTTGGTCTTGCTGAAGACCCAGGGTTTGAACGACACTGATCGAGGTCAAACCCCTAAGTTTAACCCTAGGCGTGACGGCCCGTATAAGATATCGAGGGTCTTGAGTGACACTACTTACCTCCTGGAGGGAGAGTCTGGAGCGAAGTTAGGGAAGTACCATGCCTCACAACTTACTCCGTTTGTTGGTCACATCCAGCCGCCTGTTAGGGAAAAGCGTAGGCGAGGTAGGCCGCGTAAGTCTTAAGCTAGTCCAGACCGCGTTGCGTCGTCTGAACTAGAGGGGGAGGTTGTAACGCGGCAACGCTATTTCATAACGTTTGTAACGTTATCGCGCGCGAACAACGCAACGTTAGTGTTATCACGCCATCTCGTCTAATAGCGAATCACGCGGAAGTATGGTGCCGCGCCCTTTCCTCGGCCAATCGGCGCGAGGCAGTCCCCCCGCGCGTCTCGCGACTCACGCGGAAGCTTCGAGAAGTTTCCTTCTTCCCGGTGCGCGACGCCAACGTGAACGGTCGATTTTGAGCTAGCCTATTTTATATGTGGAAATATGTAAATTCCCATGATTGTTTGCCACGAAAGTTTTTGTTTAGTCGTAAGCTTGAGTTCAATAAATGAATATTGTGGAAACCACGATTAAAAATGTTTTTTTTTTCACTGTAACTTTTTTGTAAAATTTTATTGTTTTTTTATTTGCATTGAAATTACAGGACTGGTTTAAAAAAATACTATTCGAATCCTACGTTATTCCTGATGAACTAATATTTTTAAAAAAGTATGAAAACTTCGATAATTGATAAAATCAAATTGTCTAAGCCAGTGTTTTTCAACCCTTTTCATGACACGACTCTCGTAGTATGAAAAAAAAAATATTTTGCGACCCCCGACCGTTTTCTTTTTTTTTTTCATGCATTTTATATGGGACCGAACTTTTTTTTCTTTCTGTTACAAAGAAACATCTTTGTAAAAAAAAGTTCGGTCGGTATATGCGTATAACAATACGGGATTGATTTTTTTTTGCATCCTATATCCAGCGGTTCCCAAACTTATTTTGTCTACTGCCCACTTTGAGAATAAATTCTTTTTAGCGCCCCCATTTATAGTCGAGTATCGAGTGCTCAGTCGGTGTCTAAGAGTCCTCCTAGTAAATGACGCCTCCCAAGCCTCTACACAACGTCTCGATTTTTTTTCTGGGTCTCTTACCGCCCCCCTTTAAGCCTGCAGCGCCCACAAGGGGGCGCTATCGCCCACTTTGGGAAAGACTGCATCTACAATACATCCTATACAATGTATTTTGTTTTTGGAATAAATAAATGAAATGAAATCATGTCACACATTGAATGGGCGGTATAAAGTTCCCTGGATCAGTTATTAGTTTCATATAAATGGCTATTGCGTAAAATCTAAGGGCTACATTTTCTTTTTTTATTATTTTCTATAATAATATTTTGACGTTCATAAGTGCCACTTGTGGTCTAAACTGACTAAATACTTTTGATTTTGATTTTGAATCGTTTTCACAGGTGACGGACCCGCGTATCCTTCGGGCCTACGAGCGAGGAACACCGCGTCCGTCTGCTCAAGCGGTAGGCGAGTTCTTATTTACATCGGGAATCATCCCGTCCGACACCGACTTCCGGATATGGCGGGACTTTGGGGACATACAGGGTGAGTTGGTTATATTTTATCTATACTTATAATAAATCTGTAGAGAGGTCAATTCTGTACATGAAATATATTTTCAAAATAACTATCAGGGGGTGATTAGTGATCGATACTGATGCCAAAAATGCAATCAGTAAAATTTTTGTCTGTCTGTCTGTCTGTATGTTCTTTATAGAAACAAAAACTAGATTTTAACGAAACTTGGTACAATTATTCTTCATTCTCCTGCGCAGGTTATAGTATACTTAGGAATTCCCACGGGAATAGGAATTAGCGGGAAAATCCTTTAGTATGAAAAATCTAAACCGCTTAAGTTAGACGCTTGAAATTTGGCAAGCACGTACCTTAGTAAACTTAAAGCTTAGTTACAACAGGATGTTGCAAAATTCCCACGGGAACGGGAGATAGCGGGAAAAAACATTTGTATAAATAAATCTAAACCGTGTAAGATAGATGAAGGGGGTAAAACGGGAACCACGCGTACGAAGTCGCGGGCGGCCGCTAGTAGTCAATAATTTCGTTATAAATTAATTCGAAGTCATTTTAATCTAATTTCTCAAACAACTGCGAAATATTTAGACTATTTTAAACTTAAAAAATCTTTTATTATATGGCGTGGGCCAATCATTGAATTGGCTACATCGTGATATATACCCGACCAATCGATATAACACAAACACTTGGCAAAATAAGTCCTTTTTTATTCAGTTTTATTTATTTAATGTTACTTTTGGAGCAACTTTAAGCACTCGTTTGTAGCTGTCATCTTTATTTTTATAATCACTGGCTAACCCCAATTTGAGAAAGTCTTAACTTAGATTTTACATACGAATAAATAATAAAATAATAAGTTACTACAATCAGAGCATTGTTTTTCTCTTCACTTAACTAAAATGTATAAAACTTAAAGATCTTCTCAAGTTTAAATTTCGCATATTTAATTAGAAAACGAGAGAGAGAGAGTGAGACATTAAAACTTATTTATATTTTCTTCTTAAAAAATCTCGGAACGTGTTGTTCCGGTATTGAAAGAAAACTCACGGGTTGTTAACCAAGTGATGGTCCTCTTGTAGGAATCGCCGTAAAATTCGGCACGTATTGAGAATTGCAGCTTTCTGCATATTGTAAAAGGTATTAGTCGGTAGTTCTAACGTATTTAAACTATTTTTCAGTTGTTGAGGTATGACCCCTGTGCTAGAGAGCACAAGCGGTACAATTATTATATTATTATTACAATTTATTTTATTTATTATTGTTCTGTCTCCCCCCAGGCATAGACATAGCGTTCTCGAAGGGGGGCCACGTGTACCACACGCGCAACGACCGGCCCGAGCTCATCCTGCCTGGAGTCATACAGAATGCAGGGAATATGTTACTGCATTTAGTGGCTGAGGCAGCTGATATGGACTTGCAGGACAAGGTCAGTGGTGGAGGTTTATTTCAATCATTAAAATAAATAAAAAATAAAATAAAATAAAAATAAAATAAAAAATAAATATAAAATAAAAATTAATAATTAATTAAAGGAAGTACCTAGCTAAAAAATAATTGAAATAACAATATTTGATACTTTTTTAAGGTGTTATGTCTATAGCCTATAATCTAAAGACGCCTGTTTGGCACCAAGTTGCACCATCTTACTTTATTAACTTTGACAAACGTCAAAAATCTGTCAAGCTCCATACAAAAAGCACCGGTTATCGTTATAGTTACGCCAAAGTTAGGTGGTGCAATTCATTCAAAATTTAGTTTGAAAATAAAAATAAATATTTTATTAATATCAAATAAAATGCTCAGTTGCTTTTGCCACATTTTGGGGATATAACTGTTGATTAGGTACTAAATTTTTTTTAAATAAATTTCTAGCGGTTGGAGCAAATGTGAAATCCGTGGCAGGTTAAAATTACTGTAAAAAATCGTAGGCTTATTTACAAGACATTGTTCAAAACTCCATTCATCCTCATTTAGACATAAATTCTATCCATTTCTTAATATTGCAAGTCAATCAATCAAAAACCAATTCTCAAAAATTCAATTTCAACTGAATTCTGAGCTTCATTCTAAAAACTAAGCTTTTTTTTTGTGCCTAATAACTTAAATAAATCTCACCTCTTCCAGGCTGTAGCCACCCAAATGGTGTACTTCGACTTCTACAACCTGTTCATGGTGTCGATATCGCGGGTGGCCTCACACATTCTGGACGCTTTCGTGGCGTTATTGGCTTTGCTCTCGGTGGCTTACTACATATGGCTCGTCGGATGCCGTGAGTACATTGATTAATTTATCTCTTGTAGCAGGAAAACTAAAGTGGACGACATAACCCGCAGAATTGCTAAACTCAAGTCATTCTGGGAGTGGGTAGTCAATGCGAAAAAACGCTCAACGGTTGGAATGTGCAGGTGTCAAAATGTCCATACGGACCGGCTGTTAGTGTGGCAAAAAGTATGAACGTCAAAAAGTCCCAGTGTCAAAATGTACATTATTACCATGGTTACAATGGTTTAGTGACAAATGGTACACATCACAAAATACAAGTACTACAAAAGGTGTGATAGATAAAATGATCAACTGATATATTGTGCTCATGATTAAATTAATAAAATTAAATGTCAAAATGTTCAATGTTCTTGTAGTCCAGTCATAGAGTTTTTTTTGGACTTTTTACCTTGATGCAATAAGACGCTTGTTCGAATAAACCCGAAGACATTTTAACTTCAGATCATTTTAACCATTGCTCATTTCGACGTTCATACTTTTTGCCACACTAACAGCCGGTCCGTATGGACATTTTGACACCTGCACATTCCAACCGTTGAGCATTTTTTCGCATTGACTACCCGCTCCCAGAATGAACTCAAATAACAGTGGGGGAGCACATAGCTCGCAGATCTGATAGCCGCTGAGGCAAAAAAGTTATCGAGTGGCGACCACGAGCCGAAAAACGGTAGTCCACAAGATGAACTGACGATCTGGTGAAGGTCGCGGTTAGAACCTGGATGCGGGCGGCGCAGGACCTGTTTTTGCGTAAATCCTTGGGTAGGCCTTTGTCCAGCAGTGGACGTCATTTAGCCGAAACGGGCGGACGAGTCTCCTGTAGCCACTTAAATGGTGTACTTTGTATTCTACAACCTCTTCATGGTGTCAATATCGCGAGTGGCCTCACACATTCTGGACGCTTTCGTGGCGTTGTTGGCTCTGCTCTCGGTGGCTTACTACATATGGCTCGTTGGCTGCCGTGAGTACATAATATCATATATTTATTTATAGGTAGAACAACAGAATATACTGTCCAACATTTTTACAGTACATAACATTGTTTTTTTGCATTAAAATTATTTTCATATAAATATTGCAAACAATAATGACTGTGTTTTTTTGCGCTGCTACTTCTCAGCACTGGCTTATTTATTGTTCCGAAGCAGTGGTAGCGTTTTCAGAAGCAATAGTGAAGTAAATACAAATTATCGTGGACGCTATCCAAACAAACTGACACTGCCTGTAATGCTCACATCCTTGCAAAGTGACAACTGCTATCCAATGGCAGTACGAATTTTTAATAAATTGCCAGATGAAATAAAAACACTGCCTATTCGAGCATTTAAGACACGCTTATTTAAATTATTGGTTAGCAAATGTTATTACACAGTGCAGGAATATTTAACAGATAAGTCAATAAGAGTCTTTGAATAATTATATTGATGTTATAAATTATTATTAGATGACATTTGCAATTATGTATGTAATCGTTATTGAATTATGCTTGGTGAATCTTTGACATCGACAATTTCTGAATTTTTGACATTGAGTATCTACTATTGACATTTATATTGACATCTTACATTGATAATATTTTAATGGAATTTGTTGAAATGTTTAATAATTAATTAATTTAATATTTGCATGTCAGAAATGACTAATTGTGAGACCTAACCATTAACTGTATCCATCTCCTGTACCACATTTATAGCAAATAAATGATGATTCTGATTCTGTATTGCCTCCGCCATTTTCCGCAGTTTGGCACCTCACGTCACATCATTTTACCGAAGTCAGCCCTATAGCTTCGGCGCAGTGCCGATCACTGACGTTTGTCAACAAAATGGTGCTTGACTCTTGAGACAGGCTAAATTACACCATATTGTTAATGACATTGAGCATACATTTTTTTAAATACCTTCGCGAAGTAAAACTTCTGTACGTAGTACTTATTATTATTCTGTGGTCAAACGTAGTTAGGACAGCTCTAAACTATTTTATATTAATTTTACTATTTAAATCTCAACAAAAAGAAAAAAATATATTTAACTATCCGTGGTCAATGGTGCTGGTTTCACAATTATATTATGTTTGTCATATTTTAAGTAACCTTATTGTGAAATTATTTGTTGATCCAAATAAAGGAATTGAAGTGTAAATCAACACATTAAAACCTTTTATAAACGGATACCTAACTGATTTAATTTTGTTGATAGCATAATATATTTATTGCCCAACGTTGGTCTTTTCCAAGTTTTTTTTCAATTATTTTTTAATCTTAATAAATGTGTGACTGACTAAGTTTTTATCCCAACTTTAGGTACATATCGAACCCCTGGATAGCGGTGCCGATGTTCTGGCTGCCATACATGGTGGGCACCATCGCTGTGGCACACGCCTTCGACGCCTGGAGGACTAAGAAGGTATGTGTAATTATATTTAATTTTGTTATAAGAATTTACTTCATTTTTTTATTTGAGTTGAACATCACTGGTCCATAAAGGTGAGTATAGACTAGAGCAGTGTTCCGCAAAGGGTGTACCGCGGCATACTGGTGTACCGTGGTCATTAGATGGTGTGCCTCGAAAAAATAAGATTATCTGATTATCTTATAAACTTATTTTTAGTAAGTAAGTAAGACTAATATTATAGGTAATTACTTAAAAATTGATTTTTCATGTATGGTGTTCGTTGTTCTGTTACTACTAAAATGTTCTAGTATATACTCGCTTTTAATCTATCACATGATCAAAAATAGTGTCCGTCACATCTACGACGGACAACTTACTGGTGTATTTTTTTTAATGTGCCATTTAAGGCCGGGTAGCAGAGAAAATGGCGAAAATGAGGTTTTCATTTTTCATTTTTGAGGTACTAAACAGTAAAATTAAAGGCTAAGATTTTTATTNCGTTTCAGCCAAATGACGTCCACTGCTGGACAAAGGCCTCCCCCAAGGTTTTCCACAATGAACGGTCCTGCGCTGCCCGCATCCAGGCTCTTCCCGCGACCTTTACCAGATCGTCGGTCCACCTAGTAGGAGGCCTGCCCACGCCACGTTTTCCAGCCCGTGGTCGCCACTCGATTATTATGCAAATATTAAATTAATAATTAATTAATTTAATATTTGCATGTCAGAAATGACTAATTGTGAGACCTAACCATTAACTGTATCCATCTCCTGTACCACATTTATAGCAAATAAATGATGATTCTGATTCTGATAATAAGACGTGTAAAAGTATTTGCAAAAATAAAATATTTTTTATGAGTTTTGAGTTTTTATGAGTTTACATAGAACAATTTTATAATTGAATATCTAATATTGTAAAACACTCTCGACACTACTGGTGTTTGACATAATATCATTTTTTACACCCCATATTATGGACTTTAGCTCACGCTGAATCACTGTTTTAGCTGGACTGTCGACGTATTTTTCCCTTAAAAAAATTTTTTTTCATCGATATCTTTTTCATAATCCTACTACATCTTCAGATGTGGGCAACATTTTTAAGCTTCCCCTCTGTATACAGGGTGGTCCACGGTCCAAGAATTATTATGGGCGGCTGCAGGACGTACATGCTGCCTCGTGGGAGGCGTGGTCATAGTGGCTGTGCTCGTCCCTATCATGGTAGCCACCACGGTGCAGATGAGGTAATACCTACTAATATTTAATGTGAAAGTTTGCGAGAGTGGATGGATGTTTGTTACTCTTTCACACTTAAAGGCTGGCCACTTTGTCTGTCAAACCGGGCCTGTTCATCTCCGCGAGTTTACATCGAAAACAAAACACGCACGATGGCCCACCTACAGGATACTATTCGACAAGGCCTCACATACGAGCGAACATTGACTCACGCACGCGTATTCTTGTGTATGATGGAAGAAAATAAAGAAAATGGTGTACTAAATACTGTGCAGTATTTAACTGCCTAAATAATAATAAAAACACAGAATGTACTTTTTTAAATTGCCTCAAGACACTGAGAGGTAGAGGAAATAAGTAGTTAATATTATTCATGATAATTCATGCTAAATCATGTATTGCCTCCGCCATTTTCCGCAGTTTGGCACCTCACGTCACATCATTTTACCGAAGTCACTGCTTTTGATTTAATTACTTTTTATTTTTACAAGTGTTTGAAAACTCCATGTCAGATTGCAATCAATGTCAAGTGAAATCTCAAATTGAAATGTCTCAATTTCAATGAGGAGGCTCTGCATTTATTCCTAGAATTCCCCTAACACCGTCAAATTACCCTTTCGAATTCAAGACAGTGCAGTTTCCCATCAAAATCTGCTTCGTAATGACTATAAACAAAGCTCAAAGTCAAACTCTAGCGACCTCTGCATAAACTCCCATGAGTGCTCAGAGCGGGTGCCTGCGGCAGGTAACCGCGTGTGATGCTCATAGTGATTTTCAATACAGAGCCCCGTACATACGTTATACATAAATTATGGAAAGAAAACACCCAGACCAATACAAAAAAATATGTATGCAATTTTAGTATGATATTTTTATTTATTAATAAACAAAAAGACTGAACAAAATTGATGCGTGTACTGATTAATGTAATTAACCACATGCAAAGTTTCGTGAATTGCAACAACTATAATTTATTATCCAAGCTCTAAATAATCGCTACTAAGAGTAACTGATCATAAAATGTTTTTCCAATCGCTCAAGCTCCCGAGGACCTAACGATAGGTCGGGTGACGTAATCTTGAAAATTCCGGAAGGTCGGGTGACGCCACGCCTCTTTGAACCGTGTTTACTTTGGCAGTTATATTTTATATTTATTCGATTCTAAAATATATTCCCAAAAATTCTGAAAGTTGTTTTAATTTGTATCACTTGGATATGATTTGTATTAGAAAGTGCTGTGAGTGTGACGCTTGAACGGAAGGAAGTCAACCTAACCTAACCAACTGGTATTTCTATACTGTGTAGCCGCGAGAGCTCTTTGGCGCGCTGTCTTCGGCGAAGTATTGCGCGCGCAGTTTTTGACAGCGCGAAATACCTACTTTAGCAGAAATACCAAGCCTTAACTACTTCACCGATAGCGGTTGCATTGTTGCCAGCATATTTTGATCTTTATTAAGAAGACAAGGTTTAAAACCAATTAAAAATATTTTTCTATTACCGTATTAGTAAAAGTTTAAAAGATATTTTTTCCTTTCAGAGCGGCCTAAACCGGTCCATCCGTGCGCTCCAAGCGATGGCGGCCACACGTTTCATCCTCGCGATAATCCTCATTATCATGGCGTGCATACCAGCTGCCACGAGCGTGCGCTACGTGATATCCGTGCCTCTGTTCATGACCACAATGGCTTCATTCGTGTCTATGACGTGCGTCAGATACGTGCGGCTACAAGGTACCTAAATTAAATTGGTGTATTTTTAGCTACAACTCTCACGGTTGTGACACGCATCCTGACTGCTATGAGCTTGCGCTACGTGATATCGGTGCCTCTGTTCATGACCACAATGGCTTCTTTCGTGTCTATGACTTGCGTCAGATACGTTAGACTACAAGGTAAATTCAATTGGTGTATTTTTAGCTACAACTCTTATAGTTGTGGTATGCATTCTAACTGCCACGAGCGTGCGCTACGTAATATCCGTGCCTCTGTTCATGACCACAATGGCTTCATTTGTATCTATGACGTGTGTTAGATACGTGCGGCTACAAGGTTAGTAAATTGGTATATTTTTATGAGCTTCATCTTAGTAATAATTTTCAAAAGGATGGCATGAGTCCTAGCTGCTACGAGCGTGCGCTACGTGATATCCGTGCCTCTGTTCATGACCACAATGGCTTCTTTTGTGTCTATGACGTGTGTTAGATACGTGCGACTACAAGGTTAGTAAATTGGTATATTTTTATGAGCCTATTATTCATCCTAGTTTAGTTTAGTTTAGTTTCATCCTAGTAATAATTCTCAAAAGGATGACATGATTCCTAGCTGCTACGAGCGTGCATTACGTGATATCCGTGCCTCTGTTCATGACCACAATGGCTTCTTTCGTGTCTATGACGTGTGTTAGATACGTTAGACTACAAGGTTAATACATTGGTCAAATTTTATGAGCTTTCTCCTAGTAATAATTCTCAAAATGATAGCATGAGCCCTGGCTGCTACGAGCGTGCGCTACGTGATATCCGTGCCTCTGTTTATGACGACGATGGCTTCGTTCGTTTCTATGACGTGTGTTAGATACGTTAGATTGCAAGGTACGAACAATTTGTGTATTTTTAGCTGTTTTCTTCGTTCGTACCTATGACCTGCGTCAGATATGTGGGACTGTAAAGTAAATTTATTTACTTATAATGGCATCATGTTTGTTTTTATTTATCGTTTCGTGTGGTTTGCACATAATATAGAGAGTCTCAAATAAATAATAATGTTCAAGGACGATTTCTATTAAAAATGAAAATGACTTCAGTCAATTGATGTGTTTAATGAGCTGTTGCAATACAATAACCCTATTATTATCTATTGTTTATCTTCTTTATGTAATTTATGTAAATGTGATGTCGCTCTGTTTCGTCAAATAAAACATTTTTTACTTTTTACTTTTACTTTTACTATTGCGGATGCCCTAGTGAATTGACTTTAATGAAACAAATGTGATTTTATATGTCATTGAGAAGTATGACGCCATCAGGTCGTCATTTGATTAATTTCAAAGTTAATAAAATGCCGAAATATTGTCCCAGTTTTAATACTGCTATATTTGGAACGTGTATAAAAAGCCGTGAATATACTAATAAAGAATTTGAATTTAAATGGCAACACCTGTTTTTCCAGGCTGGCAACACCTCCTCCTGGAATTCGTGCTGTCCGTCCCAGCGGTGATGTTCATGTTCGTGCTCAGCCTCCGATTGGATTCGACCCTATTACCCATCATGGGCCGCTCGGCCGGGAACAGCCCGGATTACACCGTCGCCGTGGTCAATGTGGGCATGGCGGTCATCACGTGCGTTACTGTTGTGAGTTGGTCATTACATTATTATTTTCTAGTTTTTATTTTTTCTCCATTCTTTTATAAATAAAAGTCTAGGTAGTTAACCTATTACGCGGACCTCAGTCAAGCGAAATAGGATGTAAGGCAGTAGTCGTTAAATTAGAAGATAAGAATTTCCTAGTAATTCGGCAGGTGTTTAGGATAGTGGCTTTTATTATTATTAACTTTACTAAAGCCCGGTCTGTGAGCACGTAGAATTTTGTCCAATGACCCCAAGCTACCCATCCATAAGATACCTACGCGCCTTTTCACTTTAAAAACCATATAAACACTATCCTCTGTTTTTCTCTAGGTCTGAACTATACCAAAATTCATATAATTTGTTGAAGAATAAAAATGTAACAGGGTTAAATACTTACGGATTTATAAAAACAAAAAATTAAATTATCAAGTAAATTTTACGTTGCCTCAGTCGGTTTTGAAGTTTCAAATTATTTTCAAACTGTGCCCGCGACTTCGTACGCGTGAAAACCCGTTTCCGCAACATTTTTCATTGTTGCTCTGCTCCTATTGATCGTAGCGTGATGTTGTATAGCATATAGCCTCGATAAATGGGCTATCTAACACTGAAAGAATTTTTCAAATCCGACCAGTAGTTCCGGAGATTAGCGCGTTCAAGTAAACAAACAAACAAACAAACTCTTCAGCTTTTATAATATTAGGGGAGAGTTCGGTATATTGTACCGCCGGGTAAATTGTACCACCCTCATATTTCGTAAAGTATTTATTGAATGTCTGTAATTGCAACACTTAGCGATACACAACTAAAGTCAATTAATATCGGCCATGTGGTTTTTGCCGTGACAACAAACACGTGTGTTTTATTTTGCAAAGTATTTTTTCATTGTTTTCAAGTAACTTTTGACAATACATGTTAAGTTTGTAATTTTGTTAAATTTAATCACATGGTGTTTCTAATATATTATTTAGAAGCGTAAATTAGTCTGGATTACAATTATTTGAAACATTTTTCGGTATTTATAAGCTATATTTTTTACCGATTTTTTAAAAGCACTATCACCTAGTCGGCTAAATTGTACCACATCAAGTTGTATGGAATTTTACCAAAGGATTTTGAATTTTTTTTTAGTAAATCATATTTTGAAGTTATAATAGCGTAGTTATGTTTGACTAACAATAAATGAAAGCAAAAGACTGGCAAAGTAGATTAGGTACAAGTGTGCGTTACGATAATTGGAATTACAAAACTTGTACTCAAAATCGTGATAACGTGTAAAACAATATCGATTGTCTATGTTATTAACTACTGTTCCTTTTCGTTTCCTAATTTGTTAAGAATGTATCGTATAATATTTTGCCATAGTTTTTTTATAGGCTTGAAATTTATTGAAATCCAATTTAGTAATCCTGTGGTACAAATTATCGAACCGGTTGGCTAAATTGGACCGAAGCTCTGAACTCGTACTTTGTTGATTTGTAATAAATATACAACAATCATGTTAATTAATACTTATGAAATAGTAAGTTGAATAATGTATCTTTTATTATATACCATGGACATTAGGAAAAACAAAAGAAAACTATGTGTAAAATGGGATTGAAAAAAACTGGTCCAAATTAGCGGACTCTCCCTTAGTATAGATATGCACAGTCGACAGCACATCAGACTATACATTTTCATTGCAAAATCACCCCTATCGCAACTACGTAAGATACCACAGTGTTTACGTAATCGTAATCATAATCATTTATTTGCAATACACGTACATTATTTATAGCCTGACCAGGAACATAAAAACCCTCGCCATGTTGCGAAAAACTAATGGTACTAATTTCTTTTAATGGCAACAGTAACTGAAAACTTCATTGACATGTCACCTTGCTTGCATGTCAGTCTATTGCTGTCAAAGTGTAAACAAACTTTATTTTAAATGTGCGCAATTGATTTTGTGAATTAAATTGCAAAAATCTTTTTATAGTTGTGAAAGAAAAGTGGTTCACAATGTGTTAAAGTATTTGTCGAAGAGAAATACTAAGGGTTCGGACAATATTTTCATTAAATAATGTTTCCGACAAAGGTTGTCAAATTGACTGACATGTTTATCGTATAGTACAGTCCACTACGAAAATTAGTTGTGATTCGTTTCAAATACCTATTTTTTAAAAAATTGTCACTTTCTAAGTGTTGAATTTTATGGGATTGGGAAAGAAGTACCGAGTTTGAAGCGTTCATGAGCAGACATTGCAGTTGAATATTCAAGTTCTGAATTTGATTATTGATGAATAATAAAATAAATTCTACTAACTCGATTGATGGTTTCATTTAATTTATTTAAACTAGGTTACCTATAATAACATTTTTTCGTTAATTTATGAAAATATAAAATTAGCCCGTAATCCTGAATCTTGATACATAAAGTTAATAGCTTATTAATTTAACACAGGTACGACTGTACTCAGTGTTGCACTATCAAATGCAATTGAGGCGCCTCTATGCCAGGGTTTTTATGTTCCTGGTCAGGCTATAATATATTTACTAACACTAAAAGTTATTTTTTTGACATAAGTGCCTCGTAAAAATCAAAATAAAAATCGAATATGAATCAGTACTCATGTAGTCCCCAGATTTTGATATGGTTATCGAGTGTCAGCCAACAGAACTCGAAATGCACTTAGGTTTTAAAATGGTCATTGTAACTTGCTAGGTTTTTGCAGATTTGAATTGGACTTACTAGGTTTTTAGCTACGCGTTTTTCCGGTGTTAAGTGTAATAGAGCGATTTCTGTGTTCACATCCTGTGGAGACCATAATTCTAAGGTGATTTATGACAAAAAACGAAAATCTGCAAAAGTGTCCCTTACTAGGTTCTTAAATGGTTCAGCCGTACAGTGGAGGAGGCTCATAGTCCAGCAGTGGACTGTAAAGGGCTGTTGATGATGATTGATGATGAACCATTGTTTTTATTCCAGTCCGGAGTGGAACTCCTGTTCTCCCGCAAGCGTGTCTGGATGCCGCTGACCGCAGTGCTGTTAGCATCAATTGTCTGCATGTTCCTGCCACTAAGCCCCTACCACGAAAACGGAGTCGCCGTGCAGAGGCACTACTGGCTGGTAAGTTGTTATACAGGGTGTTTCAAAATTAACACGTCACACTAAAACCGAAGGCGAAGAAGATCGGCAAGAATTGGAGCGAGATCAAACACATAGCTCAAGACCGAACGCGATGGAGGACTGTTGTGGACGCCCTCTGCCCCATCTAGGGGACATAGGACTATAAGTCAAAGTAAGTCACACTAAAACCGGTGTTAGCTAGGCCTAAGGCTTGGTTTTCACCAAGGTGGAGCAGAGCATAGCGGAGAAGTGTTTTTAATAACCAATCAGATTTAATTACTTCTCCGCTCCGTAAAGCTCCGCTCGGTACTGCACCGCGCCGCCGCATCAATTTCTATAAAATTCCGCCGCCCGACACATCTCCTCTCTTTTTCCATTCCATTCCGTTAAAAACCGGGCCTAAGACGCTTCGAACGAACCTAATATGTCCAAAGAAAAGTCCGCGGCTCTCTTCAACTTTGTCGGGGTTGATTTCAATCTGTCGCAAGAGAACATGTTTAGCAAAAAACAGGAAAATTTATTTCAGATTAGAAACAGGTAATACTTGTGAGTATTGTTTTAATTATTACTAATAAAACACTACAAGTGCTCACACGAAAGAGAAAAAATTATATACCAAGCATAGGTGAAATTAAAGAAAAATATCACAAAATTCTCCTAAACTAAGCAAAATTATAGAACATACATGGGGTTGATTTAGATACTCCTCGATGTAAGGAATCTAAATTTAAGTTTTGGATGTCACTTTTTTAGCTACCCTGTATGTATTTTTTTTTCTATTATTGCCATATGTTTGTCTCGAAGCGCTGGTAGGGCCCAAAAGATAAGGAGACATGTAAAGTGCCCCATAAGGGCTACCTTTTTTTTTTATTGTTTGCTATATTTGACGTTCATAAGTGCCACTTGTGGTCTAAACTGAATAAATATTTTGATTTTGATTATTTCAGCACTCAGAACTCGTCACATACGACGAGCAGAAGCAAGCGACGTCTCGCACATCGGGCGTGTTCGTGACCAAAATGGATCCCTACACCACACAGCGGGTGTTGCCTGCCTTCTCATCAGCTGGCATACAGCTCAACAGCCGGACTAACTTCGAAGCGGACTGCCAGAGTAGATTGTACTGTGGGCTGCCGCTGTATAGGGTCGCTATGGGACAGGCTATGTGAGTGCTATGTTTATATTTACGCGTTACAGACGGTCTTATTTCAACTGCCTGTTCATTAATTCAAATTAATTATTGACAAAATAATTTATTAAAAAATATACTAATTTACATATTTAATTTTTTAGATTATAAATCAGAATATTCTTTAAAAAAAAATCAATTTAGTGACAAGAGTGCACGGCCTTTAACTGCGCAGCTCACAAAAGCGTATCGCGTATTTCCTGATAAATAAAAGATTGACTGAGTTTCTTCCGCCACTTCTTCTTATATTATATTAGCATTATCCTATAACCATATTGAAACACATCTGAATGCGGGCAGCGCAGGACCGATAATGCCTTGGAGGAAGTATTTGTTTAGCAGTGGAGTTTTTTTTTTAATAAGATTATTAGCAATTTGTATAGCCCAAGTTACTAATAGTCTCCCGTTAGCCCCTCGTGTTAAGCTAAATAAGCTTGTGTTACGAGTGGGCTCACCACAATAGTCGAGCGGCGGTGGGATTCGAACCCGCGTTCCTCGGATCTCGAGTCGGCCACTCTGACCCCTTCACCGTACGGCTATCGTGCTTATAAAAAGTATGGTAGGACCTTTAAAATTTTAAAACTTTAGCTAAATTGAAAATAAGCAGCATTATTTATAATACAATCATTCTCTACCAGCTCGCAAGGCCTGTTCATGTATACGGGCGCGCCCGCAGCGTTTTCGCCCGCGCCCGACGCGGCTCTCGCCAACAAGACGTGCGCCGGGGAACTGTGCACGTATAACTTTGTGCTCACAGGTCAGTGCCCACTGCTGGGATAGTGACTGTAAAGGTATTATTGTCTGGTGAGTTGTTATTGTAAATGTATTTTGCCGTGCTAGTAATATTAGCAGTAACTCCATTTTAAGAAGCTGCAGCTGCTGGAAGACGTAGCGTGGGCAGGCCTCCCACTAGGTGGACCGACGATCTGGTGAAGGTCGCGGGAGGTACCTGGATGCGAGCGGCGCAGGACCGGTCTTTGTGGAAATAATTGGGGGAGGCCTTTGTCCAGCAGTAGACGTCTTTCGGCTGAAACGAACGAACGAACTCCATTTTATAGCAAAACTATAGTTAGCTCTATTTCAGATGAGCTGACAGGAGTTTTTTAACAGCAAAATATTGGGGTTACTGCTGGTATTATTATTAGAATTATTGACTGGTAAGTTGTTATTGTAATGGTGCCGACTGCTGGACTAGTGAACTGAATAAAAAATACCATAAGTATGAAAGGTAAGCTTTTACGAGTTATACAAATGCGATAGTTTTATCTATTCAACGCTCACCAGATGGTGCCACTGTCTTAGCCACTAGCGTGTGTCAGAACAGTTCGGCTAGCATGAAAAACTTTCGAGTTCGAATTGTTTGCATATTCGAATCGTCATCAAAAGATTTAGTACGAAAACTACAACAGCGCCCTTGTGAACGTGTCGTAAAGTGAACTTAGTATATGAGAAATGGTTGCATGAAACTTATTTTGAGAATCAGTACGTCGACGTCGAGAACGGGTCGACTTGGTTACGTCACATCGTGTTTGATTTATCATGGAGTACCAATAACAAGAATATTCATAAATATTTCTACTTCTCATTTATCACAGGTTAAGCTGTTCATACTTAGAGCCTCAATAGCACCTTACATACAGTGGAACCTATTAATATGTGCTCTAATACAAAGAAATAAAAATTCGAGCATTTTTTGAATTTACACAGATTTATTTTGTAATCTATGATTGCTTGGGTTAACGTGATTTTGTTGTCCATAGAAATATTACTGGAAGAATTCAGTGGTTTAATCATGAAATTAGATCTATGACCCATGGGCCGCGTTGCTTGGGTTAACGTGATTTTGTTGTCCATAGAAATATTACTGGAAGTACCCAGAGGTTTATTCACGAAATTAAATTAATATTAATTTATTTACTAACATTATATTTCTATCCCCAGTGGCACCCCATAACGTGATAATCCTGTGGCCTCGCGCGAACATATCTATATCGAGCTGGTCGTTTTCGTCTCCCGTGGAGCCCGCCTTCATACAAGATGGCCGCCCTGTATACATAGTTATGCACTCGGTGGCGACGTATAGCCAGACGTTCGCGATGTTCGAATTTACTCTGGTATTGAATGTGAGTATGTCTTTCGTCTCGAAATCGAAATAAGAAGTAAACGAACTAAAGTCGCTGACATATTAGCAAGCTGAAGTGGCAGTGGGCAGGGCACATAGTTCGCAGAACTGACGGCCGATGGGGCAGCAAGGTTCTGGAGTGGAGGCCGCTACCTACAAGGTGGACCGACGACATCATAAAGGCCGCAGGCTTCTACCAATCGATCAACATGGAAAGCATTGGAGGAGGTCTATGTTCAGCAGTGGACGTCCTATGGCTGAAATGATTATGATATCTGTCGTCAACAGAAGAATCTTGCGTCCTTCTAATTTTATAAACTATTTTCTGCCCGCGGCGTCGCTGTAATATCGTTCTAGACAATAGCCTGTTGTTGAATGCCTGTATGAAAAAAAAAACAGAACAAAATTAATAATTAAAAGTCTGAACATAATATTAATTACTTCTTGGTGTTGAGCTACACCGCGTTTATAAGGTACCTAGCCTACTTTAATTGTAATTGCCTCGCTCTAAATTACATGGTTTCATATTATATCAACATGTGGATTACGTAGTGGGATGTGTTACCACATAAATAATACATAAGTCTAGTAGATAAGTTAATTTCTGTAACACATTTGTTTGTAATTCCTAAAATAAATAAATTGTTATTCTAATAATAAGTAAGAATACCGTTAAGCTTCATCAAAAACCGCTCAGTTCTGTTGCGTGAAAGAATAACAAATCATCTATCATCCTCACAGTTACTAATATTGTAAATGTGAGTTTGTGAGGATGGAAAGTTTTTTTTATTCTTTCACGCAAAAACTACTGAACCGATTTTGATGAAACTGCATTATTATTGTTTATTCATCATAATAGCCTATAATTTGTAACGTCATTGAGTTTAAAGGCCAAATTACAACGATAATGATAAGTATGTCGGTCTTTCTATCAAAAATGTAATAAAACTTAGTAGAAAGAATTTAGTTTTTTTTTTTTTTTTTTTTTTTATACACAACGAGGATGAGCTATTAAAATAGTGTTTCAAACTAAGAAAAGTAATAACCAAATATTGTCCACTATTCCAGGTGCCCACATCCCTTCAGTCAGGCCCAGCGCTGGACTTCTGCGACCAAGCCCACCTCATCCAACACCCTCAGGCCTTCACGGCCGAATACAGGCGTCTATTGGAAGCGGCCCCCAAGTATTTCAACGTGGCCAGTGTGCTCACTATTAGAAGCGATTACGTATTTTAAATTGGACCATATTTGACTATACAGGGTGTTTGGTAAATGGGTATATGAGCCGACACTAGCCCATGCTAACATGGGCATATAAATGGTATGGTGAAGTTAGAAATTTGATATCATCGTTTTAATTATTTTAATTTTTATACAAATCGGATTTTATAAAATTTATTTTGTATGAAAATTAAAAAAATTCAAACCATGATATCAAATTTCTGACTTCAGTCTTCACCATACCATTTATATGACCATGTTAACATGGGCTAGTGTCGGCTCATATACCCATTTACCTAACACCCTGTAGAGTAAGAGCTATTGAACGCCAGGCCTACGTCATTTTATAAAAGCTGAAAGTTTGTCAGCGTATGCTCCCAATATAGGATAGAATAGTGAATCATGAAGTTTGGGTCATCGTGGCTTTGGGAGCTACCCTAAAAAAACTGTCTGGCAAGGAGTTGGAACTGTCAAAACTGTCTGGATGTTGGGGAAAATACTTCTAATTATTGCCCAAATATTATCCATAAAAATCAGATTTTAAGGTATAACGTAAGTTTAACTTTTACGGTGGCTTTTTCTGTATATTTAATAGACTGTAATTCTACTATTTAACGAGACCAGTGAGGTTACTATGAAGGCTATCCGTTTTTGTACTTAACAGTAGGCAGTAGCGAATGACAGGGGGCGTAGTGTGAGTTTACTTCAAACGCATTCGATGTCGACTGCGTAAAAAAGTGACATTAAATGTATGACAGATTGTACAGCGCCCCTAGCGGAAACTTTCAAGAAATTAAAATCATCATATATTCGATATCGAATGCGTTTGTCGTAAGTGCGTGCGAGTGACAGTGTACTACAATGGCGCCATCTTGTGAGTGCGTAGTGATAGCCGCTTCAGCGCTTACCAGTTGATAGTCCTACTGCGATAGCCGTTTTTGTTTTTTTACGTGTTTTAGGTTGAACTCGGCCATATTTGGTAGTGTCTATGGAACTTGTCATAAGACGTATTTGTAACCACCTACTTAATGACTAACAAAGGAAACGTTAGAACAGTAATTATTGAAAATACAAAGCGACTTAGGACATAAGCTTAATGTATTCATAGTAGTTGCTTTAAGTCTAGCGCTGACTCAGTAAGTGCCTGGCGTATGCCATGGAAGCGGCACTGGAAGGTGTTTTTACCCAACTTCGCCAGAAGGAGGGTTATGTTTTTCGAGATTGCTGTCGGATTTATATGTTCTGCCCTTCCTTGCCGCTCCCTGGCACTGGTTAGCGCTCTATAACTATTTGTTGGGTAGAAAACTCATTGTGTATTGCTCACAAGCATAGGCGGTTCCAGTGCAAGTGTTTTTGGACCGAACTGAACCAGCAACCATAGATGGCGCTACGTGTCCACGATAATACGCTATAGTAACGTAGACACGTAGCGCCATCTATGGTTAAATGTATGAACTAGCTTGTTCCGATGTATGTGTTCATAGAACCATAGATGGCGCCTTACAAATAGTTACTTATTGTGTAGATAGATGGCGCTAAACAGTATATTTAATTGGCTTACATTACTATTGTAATATTTTCAGTCAGGTTTTATTTCAAAAATTTTTATTAAAAGGGTTAATTAATCAATGAAAAGTCTACAGGGGTTGGAATACCACATTATTTTCCAATTTATTTATTTTAAATCTATTTATTGACTATTTATTCGACTTTTTTATGTAGTTTCTTAGAGAAACGTGTGTTTGTGTTGTGTATAAAAATGATTATTTAATCTTGTTGACTTATTGGTATTTGTGCTCAAGAGAATCTTTTAACAACGGTTGTATGGGCTCAAGAAAATCTTGCCATAGTGTTATTTTTAACAAGGGTATTGAAAAAGTTAGGTAAGTGGACCAAAGAAATAAAAATATAGTTACGGTAAAAATATCTTTTTATTTATTTTCAGTCTTATAAAGTTGCCATACGTAAAATATTGTATATTTTGAGTATGGTAACACCATCAGAAATCATTGATCTTTTCCATAGTCTTCAAAACATTGTAAAAGGTATGAAAAAAATCGTGTAAAAACTTAAAACTACCGTCGATTATGTAAACGTACGCGTTATTTTCTACAAAATGGTTGTCAAAACTATTTGATTGCAATAATAACGTGTAAGCTTACGATCGACATATTACATAATAAGGGTACAATAACTATCTATATTACAAAATAAATTGAAACACAATTTAGTTAACGCCTCCAACTCTATTTATTTGAGATCTATACAAAATATCACGTTTTCAGGATTTGCACACAATTAAAAGTCCAACAGTCAAATATAAAGACATTTTTTATTTCTAACAGAAAGTGAGGAACATGGATTATATCTACGTGTTAACATGTTGTCACTCGTGGGTGCTGTTTAGCCAAACACCTACAAATCAAACACGAGGGTTCACATTGCGCTTACCAGTTACCGCCACAGTTGAGTAAGGGCCTGTCCATGGGCGAATTCGCCGCGAATCCTACGCACGAACACGAGCGTATTTTATGACGAGATTTACGCGCGAATTTTCAACTCGCGCGTCTTGTGGACGCAATGTATTTGCTCCTAGTATCTCGCCAACGCGCGTAGAATTCGCCCTTCTGGACAGGCCCTAAGTGACAGTGGCGCCGACCTGAGATGGAATTGTGTAAAGCAATCGTTATCATTTGACAGTTCATAACGTACGATTATTCTGTCAAACGCTTTGTTTAACGGACTTCATCGTACGTTATGAACTTTCAAATGATTACGATTGCTTTACACAATTCCACCTTTGGTTTGCAAATGCGCTAATCCTACTAACGGTCACCAGTTGACGCCACTGTCCTAGCCACAATCAAGTGACAGAACTTAATTGGACTGTGGCGCCAACATGGTTTGAAAATGCGATAGTCCTATCAGCGGTCACCAGTTGGCGCCACTATCTTTTAGCAACAAGCAAGTGACAGGTTGCGAGTCCTTCCGCTTCATCGCTCACTAGTTAGCACCACAGTCTTAGCCACAAGCAAGTGACAGAACTTAATTCTACAGTGGCGCCAACATGGTTTGCAAATGCGACATTCTTATCAGCGGCCACCATTTGGCGCCACTGTCTTAGCCTCAAGCAAGTGCCAGGAGCTTACTTGCTAGTAGCGCCAACTGGTGATCGCAATGGGCACCCTCATTCGCAGTACCAGCCCAAAAATAGCACGAAACTACTTTAGAAAGAGACGGCTAATGTTCGCCTTGTTTAGGTTTTGTAGAGCGTTGTCTCTGTCGTTCGAACAATATGCCAATTTCAGTATAAAATTATGTGGTTTGAATGTTGCAAGTACAAAAAAAATCTTTCTTGGGATATTTCGAGTTCTCAAATTATCGAAAAATTTAATAATTGCCTGGCTCATTCTTTACCAGGACCTTGTTTCAATAGTAATATTGTTATTGATTTATTTAAAAATTTATTAAAAAGTGAGAAACTTAACTTTATTTCAGTATTGATGAACTGAATTTCAAAGAAAACTATATTCTACAAGAACACAAGTTATCTTATTATTTAGTAGATACTTTGAAGTATAAAAAATATTTCGTAACTACCCAACACTTCTAACAAAGACTACGTCATCGCTCTACAAGACCTACGTTAGTGAATCATTAGCATCATTTCCAAAGTAGTATCGTATATTTTAGGGCAGATACAGATATCTAGCATGTCAATCTACCTTTAACGGCCCAATTAAATTAAAACCTTATGCTAAACACACAAAGTTCAAAGTAATCAGAAGAACAGATGACAATGACAAGAATAAGACATACAGTAAAATAAACTCTGTACCTTACTTCATAATGGGTAGCCAAAATTCATAGTGTAATTAAAATTATTAACTATATTACACATATTTAAAACTACTCAAGTTTCTTGTAACAAAGCCCGTTTTTCTAGTTACAAATTATATCTTTAAAACTGAACAAAACAGGGTGAAAGTATATAATTTAAATGCAAAATATGTACTTTGATAAATTCAAAGTTTTCTTAAGAAATATACTTCTCAATATTTAGCGAAACAACAATAGTTCACACTTTAAAACTATTTTTAAGCAAATCTTGTCAACATTCCCATTTCACTGTTATTTTTGATACATAGATATCACTCAAATATACAAAGCACCAGACATAACATATTGATCTAGATATCGACCTTATTTCTGACGGCATAAGAGCGACTTTACTATTTCAACTGTTACGCTTGATGTGCAAGTATACAACATAAAAAAAATGCTCTTCAAAGATAGTGTTTATTACATTAAAAATAACAAATAAAACTAACCTAATCTAATATTTAACTAAACCTCCTACCTACTTAAAATATTAAAACATTTACGCTATATCAAGCTTGCATGTTTGGTGATTTTAGATATAACATATTAAATTCGTCGAACTAAAATTTCCAATGCTTTTTTCTCTAATAAAATGCTTTAAATATTCAACACTGGATAAGTGCTCATATTGCTTTTGGAAAACATATTTGAAGCAATATTACTTATGCGCTATACAATGGGTTACATATCCAATGGAAACAGTATGAAAAATTGCTATAATATACTACTTAAAAATTCTTATACATTACTATGAGCGATGCATACGTGTCAATTTAATCGAATCAAAATCGATAGCGTTATATTGTCTAGAGGTATTTGCATAATGAAATATGTGATTTGAATGAGTAAATACAAATTTGATTGGCATTCATTCACTCTGTTAGTGTAGACAAAATATAACATCTAGGCAAGTCGTGTTGTTTAAATATGATAAGAAATCAAGCATACACTACTCAAATAACTTTATCTAGTTATTAGAAGACATATTGAAGCTTCATCTAATATAGAAAGAATATTTTTGGCTACGCTATGAAAGGTTTACTAAATAATATATAAAACATTCTTACTAGCAAACATAATCTGATATTTTATATGGTTGTACAAAATATGTTATACATGTTATACATTTGTTTAAAACAAAGCTACTGACTCATCTATTAACATTCGGATATCTCTATCCCTATCGCACAATGTGAGGTACAGGCATGAGCGACAGTGACAAGAAATATCCCTAAATTACAGCCTATCAAAGGACAAAATAAACTGCGTTCATACTCACAGTAAAAACTTAAATAAATACACAATAAAAAGTATCTTCGTTGAATCCATAAATTTCTACCGAATTTTATTTCTTTTCTAAAGAAAATGAGAGAATTTTCTGTAATGTTAACTTAAATAAATATCTTGTCATTATTATGCCATATTGTTCCAACTGGAAAATCTTTGTTTTTTATCGAATTTAATAAATACACCCAATCATATACACTGGTTACCACAACTGTTATAAGAAGCACAATAAAAGTAAATTTACATAAAACAGAATAAAAGTTTATCTGTAGGTAGACACAACTATGTATTTCTCTACCACAATCTAAAAAATATAGGGAGAAAACAATTATTCGAATCACCCTTAAAACAAGCTTACACATGAAATTTATTTCATTGTAATGTAAAACATTAAACACAGCAAAAAGTATAAAAGTATGGCGACAAAATGAAAGTTAGTTAACAAAGATTTATAGCGCTGCTATAAATTGGACAAAATTATTTCTTCATATACCATTTAAACAAAATAATAACTTCACAAGTAATTATTTCAGAACGTGTTACACTTTGGAACAAAGCGAAAAAGAAAATTCTTATTTTCTAAACACAATTTTACCGACTTACAATTAAACAATAGACTATAATATTATATGATTGGACTTTTCAAAAATCATTGTTTGCTACTTGTTAGTAGAACCCAATCAATACATTTGCAACTGAAATTCGTCAGCTTTTCTGTCCAATCTTACAAATCTGGCCATTTATGATTTGAAACAAAAATAAAACAAGCTATAAGTATCCCAAATATAACTCAAGGAGGACCTTTATAGCTTACGACTAACAGAACTCTAAATATAAAAGAGAAAAGTTTATATTTAATAATATACCTATTCTACGTAATTATCTTAAAACCTGTTGTTTTATTTCAACGCAAAGAAACGGTGAGTCTGCTGGCCGCTACCATTTTGTTGTTGAATTTCTTTTTGAAGGTTTCCGCCGCGACGGTGGTCTTAAAGGTGATTTTCGCGCGGCGCTCTTCCTTGTCCAAACTTAAGCTCTGGAACATCAATCCGTGTTGTGACAATCTCCGAATCCGTTTAACTTATCAGCTAGCGCGTTTAAAGCTAATGTTAGTGTTAGTAAATATTGACTAGATACAAAAATAAAATATTTTGAGTTACACCATTTTGCTTACACGTGTCGAAGTGTATTTTTAATTAAAAAAAATCTCATAATGGTTTCCACATTGGTGACATACAAGTGTATAGACAAGAAAAATGTCAAGTTACACAAATTCTTAACAAAAAAATACATTACATAATTTACATATTTGGACAAAAATTATCGCAGAGCAACCACATAGACATTTATAACCCAACACTTTTCTCATCCACACAACATCCTTTCATACAATCTCAACATGAAAATAAGCATAATCACATATATTCATATTTGATAAATTTTATAACACATTAAAACTAGACACATTTAAGACATTATTGAAATTGCATGGGTTTTAAAAATAAGAATAATACCATGCTGAAATGTATAATCAAATACAATAAATGCAAAAAACATTATTTTAAAGTTGGTTCACTGCTGCACCGTTGCGGTGTAAATATCACATTGGTCAAATTATACTGAGATCTATCATATAAAATACTATACAATAAATGAGATATTATATCGTTTGATAATACAAAAAAGACAATATAAATAAGGCATGCCGAAATATGTATAATTATTTGTTATATTATTCCAAAATTCGGCTAAAATCAACAATGTGTTGTCTTAAAAATTAATATTGTATTCCATTTCATTTGTTTTACAAAAAATAATACTGGCAGAAGAAACAATGGCCATTTTGCCAATTTCACTTTATTTTTGGCTTCTATGTCGTTACTAATTATTATTTTTTATCACAATCTCTCTTGAGACTTAAATATTCGTGCCAATTGTCATAATTTTTTATTTTTTTTATTTAAGGAATGCTTTGCATCTTAAAATAAATGTCAAAACTTACATAGTGGGAAACAATGTAAACAAATAAATGATCAAGAAATATTCAACTGAAAGGAGATGATGCAAAAACTACATCAAAAAATCATGTCACTACTTGATACTCAAATCGTAATTTTACAAAATACAATTAAATGAAAATGCTTATCAAATTATAAATTATTATCAAATTATGTAACACCTAAATGTACTATTAAGGAAGCAATAAACATATTGAGTATTGAATTTATTCGATCAGAAATTGACCGAATAGAAACTTCAGTCAATGAACACCCAGGTGCATTGTAGTTTTTATTGTTTCGTGTTAGTAAGAAAGGGTTTTAAAAGCCAAAAGGGCATCGCAACAATCAATTACATAGTTATTAGTCGTAGTTTGTAGTTAGGAAGATAATGACAATAATTTTATTTAATAGGTATACTATGATAAATCAAAGCTAGGAAAATAAAAAATTACAATACATTGTTTTTGCATCATCTCCTGATTGAATAAAAATCTGAAATTTAAACTTACGGTAAACACACTTAATACTAAATATTCAAGCATATAAAGTATGTACAAATACATAAATAAATATATCACATGAAATATCACAGTATCAAATATCACTTTTTTTAGAAGTTTTAGTAGTACGGTAATATGCGGTTTGCGCTTCGAAATATGGCTGTTTTAGTGAACAAATGAAATTATTATTCAATTTTCTGCTAAATTATATAAATTTCACTAGATCTTGTTTTAAAAAAGTCTAGTAGTTATGCTTTGAAATTAACCCAAAAATTGTATATTTCGAGTTGGTCATATCTGTCACAAGACTGGTGAAATAAAGAAACGGGTCCTCAAATTGAGAGCAAGTCTTGCCAAACATAGTGTAAGTAGTACCACTGCTCGATGGACCGACGACCTCTCTGAAGATGTGCTGTTAAAGTAGATTCATGACTTTCATGAAGGTTCCTAAATTGACATGAGACCATCACATTTCAAATGGTAAATATTTGACGACTTCTCATCATCATCTGTACATCATCTAAGAAGTAATTAATAAATAAATTATAAATTAATCAGTCTAATATAATAAACTCGTAGGGACCAAGCGCCCACAAACTGACAATCAAGGTAAAGGTTGGTATTTACCTTGGCCAACGCATTAGCCTTGCCATCCTCCATTTTTTTAAAGATTATTTAGCAATTTGTATTGCACAAATTACAAAAAGTTGACTAGAAAAACTTTTGCGACGTAATTTAAATTACAATTGCACAATATAGAATCTTCAAAATAATTCATCAATTCAATTATTTTTGCACAAATCCAAATCGAAGCGCAAACCGCTGTCCAAGCTAACCCTACAATCGTTACCTGCACATCGTTCCCAGCTAAGGTCTTCAGCCTGGTATCCGTCATACCGTGAGGCAGGTTGGTGACGTCAGCGACATTCCCGACCTCCTCATCAAGCAATTTGTCCTCATCCAAGTCAGAATCCGACTCAAACTCGACGTGAGGCTCCTCGTGTTTCTTAATAACGATCCGCGTGTCCGATCCGATGGCGGTCCGGACGGCGCGGCTGAATATCCCCGGGTGGGGCTTGGTCGGATCCGTTTTGGTGTCGATCCGGGAGAAAACCGATTTGGAGTCTTTGGTTGGTTGCGTTTTGCGCTGGAGAATCACCCGCCGGTTGGGGAACGATTGTTTTTTGTCGTCGTCCTTTTCTTTTTCTTTATCCTGAGGAAAGTGCACTGGGTAAGATTTTACTTTGGTAAAATTGTGGTAACGGTCAGGCCGGTTCATCTCCGCGAGTTTACATCGAAAACAAAACACGCACGATGGCCCACCTACAGGATACTATTCGACAAGGCCTCACATACGAGCGAACATTGACTCACGCACGCGTATTCTTGTGTATGATGGAAGAAAATAAAGAAAATGGTGTACTCAATACTGTGCAGTATTTAACTGCCTAAATAATAATAAAAACACAGAATGTACTTTTTTAAGTTGCCTCAAGACACTGAGAGGTAAATAAGTAGTTAATATTATTCATGATAATTCATGCTAAATCATGTATTTCCTCCGCCATTTTCCGCAGTTTGGCACCTCACGTCACATCATTTTACCGAAGTCAGCCCTATAGCTTCGGCGCAGTGCCGATCACTGACGTTTGTCAACAAAATGGTGCTTGACTCTTGAGACAGGCTAAATTACACCATATTTTAATGACATTGAGCATACATTTTTTTAAATACCTTCGCGAAGTAAAACTTCTGTACGTAGTACTTATTATTATTCTGTTTAACGGTAAACAAAAGAGCAATGGGCAGGGCATAATAATATAGTACGCAGAACTGACGGTCGATGGGGCAGCAAGGTTCTGCAGTGGAGTCCACGTACCGGAAAGCGCCGCGTAGGACGTCCACCCACAAGGTGGACCGACGACCTCATAAAGGAAGCGGGAAGGCGGTGGACGCAGGCCGCCACCAACCGGCCATTGTAGAAATCATTGGAGGAGGCCTATGTTCAGCAGTGGACGTCCTATGGCTGAATTGATGATGATGATGATAATGAAAAAGAATAGAAAATTTTGCCCCCACTGGGAATCAAACCCGGGATCTCTATGTTTAGGTTGGCTGGTCTTATTAGACCACAGAGGCGGTTCTACAGCCAAAACTATTATGGTGTTCAATTTGTTTACATTTCATAGATAACTTAAGAACCTCGATATGATGGATGATAGTGAAAAATATGATATGAATTTACCTCTTTACTGTCAAAAGTTATCCTCTGCCTGGATTTATTTGTACTCGCGTCAGGTTTGGGTTTCACCTGCAAGAAATTAAACGTTGAAAAAATAAATACAATGTATTGTACGATTTGATTAATGTTCGAGGGAAAAAATAGCAATTTAGTGAGAATTAAGACTTTTGGTGATTATTTATTTATACTTTTGCACATAAAACTGTACAGTGACGGATTGAATGCCTGGTGGCATTCTCTGCCGCTCTGATTAGCCGCACGAGTATGTACAGGTACTCGTATCTGTTATAATGGCTTCACTGTCTTTAAATTATTTATTTGCTAAAGAATTCAAAACATAATATTTACCTGTTTGCTTTTTTTGTCACTTTCTGAGTTGTCGGCTTTTGTCGAGCTAGTGACGACTGCTCGGCGTGGAGGAGATTTTTCTGTAAATTAACATTTATGTTGGTTTATTTTAATGCTTTATTGAGCTATTTAAATACCTAGATGATTAATGAAGATGAGTAAAAATGGTACAATTGTAAAGATTCATGTATTTTTAAGTTATGTATGGAAGCTGGAAACATTGAATTTTCGGATAGATCCAGTTTATTCCGTAACCTATTATTTGATACCGTTTGATAGAGCTCGTGAAGCATTTTCAGGATCAGTGGCCTAATTCACGTATTTGGACAGTCAAGACTCGCTGACGTTCAGAAGTCGTCCCATTGAAAAACAGTTCTAAATCCGTATTCACAAGGGTCATTTCGATAGAACGTTTATTTGATAGGATCGCATTCAGGGATTTGTTGTCGTTGAAGTTTTGTTACGTGAATGAGGTTACAGTAACCAGTTCTTATAGTTTAGAAATAATCGAGTGAGATGTGATGCGACGATAAGTTGTGTTATTTACAAGTGTTTTGCATTAATAAATACATAAATCGTTTCCAGCCTGTATACCAGGGATGGCGAACCTTTATGTATCAACGTGCCACTTTTCCGAAAAAATGTTTGATAAAGTCTTAGACGTGCCATCAAATATCACCTAATGCTATCAATGAGGGGTATAGACTATACCCCTCATTGATAGCATTAGGTGATATTTGATACTATACCGTATAGTACAAGTGGTGCCACTGGCGAGTGACAGGACCTCACTCAACAGTGGTACTAACTGATGAGGGCAAATACGATAGCCCTTATATAAAACACATTATTTTATAGTGAATTTTGCGATAGGTGGGCGTGCCCTAAATATTGTGGCGCGTGCCATTGGTTCGCAATCCCTGCTGTATACCCTTGGTGTCAGTGTAGTGACGTCACGGGTCAGTACTCACCCTTCTTCTTCTCATGGAAGACAATCTTCTGCCGCCGCGCAGGAACCGATGCGCCGGCGCCGATGCGGGCGCGCAAATCCACGGCTGGCTTGGCGGGCTCGGCTCTGAGGGAAAATGAGCCTTATTAGCACTACAATACGGACGTTTGGTGTAGTGGTTCGAAACTGACTACTATTCCGGAGGTAGCGGGTTCGATTCCCGCACAGTACAAACATTTGTGTGCATGAACATATTTGTTTGTATTGGACTGGGTGTTTTCTATGTATAATAAGTATGAATTTACAAAAAAAAAAAGTATATAAGTATGTTTATATCCGTTGTCTAGTACCCATAGTACAAGCTTTGCTTAGTTTGGGACTAGAAGCGCAGTGTAAAATGTCCAAGGATATTTATTATTTATTATTATTATTGTTGTGTGGTTCCGCCACAATGGAATATGACCATAGGATGTCGAAATGTGTAGTCAGGTGTGCCGTTGTAGTAAATGTACAGTTACTTAGCCGGATTAAGATGCGCGCCGCGACAAAATCTTATCGATGACAAATGCTTATCGTATAAAATCGACAAAATGACGCAACAAGACTATCGCATCCTAGACCTAGAGGACAGACAAGACGTACATTTAGCAACACATGGCGCTTTATGATACGTATTTAATTAGTATAGCTGCGCTTCGACTTTGTACACGCGAGGATCATTAGAATATTTATTTTTCCTGTTTTTGCAACAATTTTCATTGATGCGATATCCGATTGGTCATAGCGTGATGTAATGAAAGCCCTTTAACTTTATCCAGTCCATTTCCTATCCAACATAAAACTAATTTTCCAATGCGATCCAGGAGTTCCTAAAATTAATACGTTCAGCCAAACATAAATAAAATCTAAATTAAAAAGCTTACTTAGTAGGCTTGTCCTTGTCCTTGAACCGGCCGGTGTCCTCGTCGTCCGACAGTGTCCCCGAGGATGAGATCTAAATTTTCCTGCTACCTACTTTTATTAGGTCGTCGGTCCACCTTGTGGGTGGATGACCCACATTATTGAAATAAAAATGATAGTAGGTAACGTACTTAGCAGGCTTGTCCTTATCCTTGAACCGGCCGGTGTCCTCGTCGTCCGACAGTATCCCGTCGATGACCCCGAGGATGAGATCTAAATTTTCTTGCTACCTACTTTTATTAGGTCGTCGGTCCACCTTATGGGTGGACGTCCCACATTTTTTAAATAAAAATTATAGTAACGTACTTAGCAGGCTTGTCCTTGTACTTGAACCGGCCGGTGACCTCGTCGTCCGACAGTATCCCGTCGATGTCTCCCAGGAGATGAGATCTAAATCTTCCTGCTACTTTTATTAGGTCGTCGGTCCACCTTGTGGGTGGACGTCCCACATTTTTTAAATAAAAATTATAGTAACGTACTTAGCAGGCTTGTCCTTGTCCTTGAACCGGCCGGTGTCCTCGTCGTCCGACAGTATTCCATCGATGTCCCCAAGGCTAAGATCTAAATCTTCCTGCTACTTTTATTAGGTCGTCGTTCCACCTTGTGGGTGGACGTCCCACATTTTTTAAATAAAAATAATAGTAACGTACTTGGCAGGCTTGTCCTTGTCCTTGAACCGGCCGGTGTCCTCGTCGTCCGACAGTATCCCGTCGATGTCTCCCAGGATGAGGTCGAGGTCATCATCGCTGTCGTACTTGTTGTCTTTCTTTGGCTCCGGCAGCGGAGGGGTTAAGGCTCGCTCTGGGGACGGCGGCCGCGGAGGGGTTAAGTTCTCTGTAAAATTAATAAAAGATGTTATTTATGGTATCCTTCCGTTTGGCCAAATTACTTTTCGCCAAATTTCACATCGCAAACAACTTATCGCCAAAGTTTCAAGCTAATTTGTATTCCATTCTATGCACCAATCAAATTATTTTGTATATAGTTTATCGTGAAATATTTTTGCCTAATGAAACATTTGGCAAACCATACTTTGCCAAACAATAATTTGCTAAACAATAATATGCCAAAAATAACATTTGCGAATTAAAAGTTTGCAAGAAGTTGATTGCCAAATGAGAATTTGCCAAATGAAAATTTGCGAAACGTTGTTTGCGATGTAATAATTTGGGAAACGTTTTTTGGCCAAACATTAGTAATCCGTTATTTATGCAAGTAGACTCTTGAAAAGCACGTGTAAAAACACGTCCCTGCAATAACCCTACCACTGCTTCGAGACAATAAATAAGCCAGTACGTCTAGCATGAACAACTTTCGTCTTCGAATCGTTTGCGTATTCGACAAAATTCGATACTCAACCTTCGAATTATACGATAACGTGACAATTTTGATTCTCAAAATAAGTTTCGTCCAACCATTTCTCATACTAAGTTAACTTTGCGATACGTTCACAAGGGCGCTGTTGGAGGTTTCATACTAAATCTTTTGATGGCGATTCGCATACGCAAACGATTCGAAGTCGAAAGTTGAATTTTGTCTGTCACAAAAAAACTTTATCGCGTGCATCCCTGTTTCAAAAACCGGGATAAAAATATCCTGTCCTTTCCCGGGACTCAAACCTCTATGCCGAATTTCATCAAAATCGGTTCAGTGGTTTAGGCGTGAAAGCAGGACAGACAGACAGACAGAGTTACTTTCGCATTTATAAGTTTAGTAGGATTTACAGTGATTTAACTTACCACAAGTGGAATTAACTTCCGCACTGTCATCTTTAACCGGCGACCGCTCCCTGACTTTCTCGACCTTGTCCGACTTGGGCGCGGGCTTGTCCGGCGACTTGCGCGTGGTGTCCGGCTGGCTGTCCGGCTCGGCGGGCCTGTCTGGGACGCTAGGTGGCTCCGGCTTGGATTCTTTGTGGTTGTCCTTGTCTTTGTCTAGACCTTGGCGTTCGCGCTCTCTGTTGGAAAGAGTTTATTGTTTAGACGAAATTTTTAAAGTTTGAGCGATGTAGATCAATTTTAATGTTATTGCTCATGAATAGGGTTCACATTAGCAGCCTCACTCCCTACGCGTTAAGCATTTGACTAAAGGTGTTTTATAGGAAAATAAGATCTAATAAACTAAGGTAAGGCGATTCGATAACTCTTATAATGCAAATAGTTAGGGATTGGAATTCGTTGCCTACTACTGTCTTCAAGGCGAGAGTGAATAGGCATCCCTTAAGGGCAGATATGTACCATATTAGATAGCATCTTACTCAATAACAGGTGCGATTGCGGTCAAATACCTGCCTTGGTCTGCATAAAAACATCTCGTGCTCAAGTATCTTGCGTTATGTGCGGACATGGGCAGGTGACATTCAAAATTTGAACAAGGTTAAGGCCCAGTTTTTTGATTCATAGTTAAAATAACTAATTGTTAAATTTTGCTACTAATGGTTAAATATTAACAAAATGTAAACTGATGTACTAAAAGTCAAGTTAACCATTGTTCGAAAAACATTTTTCTCTGATATTGAACCACTTGTCATTTGACATCTGTCAAATTTAACAATTAGTTGTTTTAGCTATGAATCAAAAAACTGGGCCTTAGTCGCACATTGGGCGACAAAACGCGGCGACAGACCCGGCCACAAAACGCATGCGTGCGTCATTTCATTTTATTAGGTTGTCGTCGCAACATGTCGCTTTGTCACATAATTTATTTATTTACTAGCGGCCGCCCGCGACTTCGTACGCGTGAATCCCGTTTTTCCCGCTAATTCCCGTTCCCGTGGGAATTTCGGGAATTCCTTTCTTAGTGCACCTCTACGGTACCTAAGCTACGTCCCTTCCAAATTTCAAGTGCCTACGTTTAGCCGTTTAGGCTGTGCGTTGATCTGTCAGTCAGTCAGTCAGTTTCTCCTTTTATATATTTAGATTTATACTTCAATGCCAAAAATATTAACATTAGGCGAACTTAATGCCATAAGGCATTCTCATCCAGTTTACCTTTGGAAATTAATTCTTCCTAATTCCTTGGAATTGAAACGTTTCACAGTAAATATTCACTTTAGTCTTACCTCTCCTGCAGTTGTTTATGTAGCGCGGCGGCGTTTCTACGGCGACGAACTTCTTTAGCACGAAGCACGCGCTCGCGCAAACTCTCTTGCTCGCGCACGCGCCGACGATATTCGCTTTCCTGAATAGTAACATGGCATGTTAAATTAAGTGTTGAAAAGAAACCGCAATAGCATATTCATACAGTAATATTTGTTTCTGAAAATCAAGTTAGTATTCAATGAGGGCTATCGTTTTTATACTTAACAGTTGGCACCCCTGGCGATTGACAGGACCTTACTCTACAGTGGAGCCATCTTGATGAGTGCAAATGCGATAGTCCTCCTACCACTTAGCGCTCACCAGTTGGTGCCACTGTCTTCGCTACTAGCAAGTGACAGGACCTTACTCTACAGTGGCGCCAACTGGTGAGCGCTAAAACGATAGCCCTCATTGACTTTAAAATAATATAAAAACTCAATTCCAGTGAAAACTATGTAAGGCATTTTTGATCTTAACAGCCTTATCAATTATTACATAATATGCTATTTGTTTTCCATAAAATAAATAAATAAATTCACTAAAGTGACCTAATGACGACTCCATAAGTCATATCTTGACAGCTCAATAAAAGTACGTTAATCTAGGATGTCTACCATGAGCGCCAAGAGACGCATAATAAGAAGAGCCGACCCTAAATAAAATGGGAATGGGCCAGGCAAAGAAGAATGTGCCGGTATGCACAATACTTAATCTTTTCATATCTTATCTTGATCACGTTCACAGTGTCAGCACATTTATCACGTATAGTGCTGATGCTGTGACGTCATTTATCTATAATCTATATCGTATAAATATACCGTATATTATAGTATATTATATACGTGTAATATACCGTATATTATAGTATATTATATACGTGTAGTCCGCGTTAATAAACAGATTAATATCAGAGACTAATACCAACTGTTGTCTCATTCACACGGTCCCCAACATGGCACAAAGAAGAATCTGAAATTTTACTACGTTTTTCACAAAAAATATTTTAATTTCAATACATCTCCATTTCAAGAAAAACTATCTCAAATTATTATCAAATCGAACCAATAGCTTCGCAGCTTATTCAAAACAAACAAACAATCAAATCTTTTCTCTTTGTAATATTAGTTCAGATTTTAAACTCACCTCGTCATGAGTCCGAGGCGCGGGCGCGGTGTCCGGGCGGTGTCTGCGCTCCCTGTCCGGACGGTCCCTGTCCGGACGCTCCCTGTCCGAGCGTTCCGGACGCTCGAAGCGCTCGGGCGAACGCCGGGCGGGCGACGGCGAACGACGAGCGGGGGATGGTGAGCGCATTCTAGTTGAATAAATGTTATTTTAGGATTTGCTACTAATGTAATGACTATAGTCTGGTCGCTGAGCACGTATAATTTTGTTCATTGACCCCAAGCTACCCCCATCCTTATATTGCTGTCGCGACTGTGCGACGGGCGCCCGCAGTGAGTGTGCGAGCGCGACAGCAACATAATTACGCGCGAGCGATAAGGATGGGTAACTTGGGGTCATTGGACAAAATTCTACGTGCTCAGAGACCGGGCTTCAGAAGAAAGCGTAGGCGTTCTTGCCATCTGGTAGACAGATGACCTTTGTGCGTGTTGCAGACAAAGGAGCTAAACTAAGTTGGTTTAGCTTAACCAGGCCTGTTCATCTCCGCGAGTTTACATCGAAAACAAAACACGCACGATGGCCCACCTACAGGATACTATTCGACAAGGCCTCACATACGAGCGAACATTGACTCACGCACGCGTATTCTTGTGTATGATGGAAGAAAATAAAGAAAATGGTGTACTAAATACTATGCAGTATTTAACTGCCTAAATAATAATAAAAACACAGAATGTATTTTTTTAAGTTGCCTCAATACACTGAGAGGTAAATAAGTATTATTATTCCAATTTTAGTATATGTACTGCCGAAGCAAGTACATTATTACACACACATTATTCATGATAGTTCATGCTAAATCATGTATTTCCTCCGCCATTTTCCGCAGTTTGGCACCTCACGTCACATCATTTTACCGAAGTCAGCCCTATAGCTTCGGCGCAGTGCCGATCACTGACGTTTGTCAACAAAATGGTGCTTGACTCTTGAGACAGGCTAAATTACACCATATTGTTAATGACATTGAGCATATATTTTTTAAAATACCTTCGCGAAGTAAAACTTCTGTACGTAGTACTTATTATTATTCTGTGGAGGTACTCACCGCCTCCTGAGACCAGCTCGGTTGGCGTTGATGAACTGCTCCTGACGTCTTAAAAGCTCATCATCGCTGCTCCGCCTCGCCGGTCCACCCATCATGTCATTTTCTATCTCTATTGTTGTGTTCTCTATAAACCTGAAATAATAATATTAACGTTTATTTTAAACCTAAAACAATAACACAAGTTAGTTTTCTAGATAATTATCATCATCTTATCGGCCACAGGACATCTACCGCTGTAGGCCTAGGATGCATGCTACGATAAACTAAAAGTTTATCAAGCCATTTTATCGATTTTGCGCGATAAATCCATACATTTGTCGTCTAATATCGTTGTTAAAGTCTTTATCATGACGCGCATCCTGGCCCAATTAGGCCTTCCCTAATGTTTTCCCATAATTTCAAACTCTGTAAAGTTCTAAGCGTTTATAAGCGCCATGAAAATGGCCTACAAGTATGTATCATAATATCATTATTGTTTTTAGTAATAACTAATGATGAATTTGAAGCAAACACTAACAATATTGATGTACAGACAACGGCATGTCACTGAAGCCTTTTGTTTTTTTTTATGCTACACAAGGCAGGTATTTGACCGTAATCGCACCTGGTGTTAAGTGAGATGCAGTCTAGGATGGTACATATCTGCCTTGTAAGTGCCTAGGCCTATTCACTCTCGCCTTGAAGAGGCCCGGATTATAGTTTTCGGGAAAGACAGCAGCGGGCAACGAATTCCAGTCCCTAGCTGTTCGCATTATAAAGGAGTCGTCGAAACGCTTAGTGCGAGCTGGTGGAATGTCGACAATGTAGGGATGGTACGCTAACCTGCGTCTGGTTCCCCGGTTATGGAAGGGGGCTGGTGGAATGAGGTGATGTGTAAATGTAATAAGAGTTTTCCAATTTGCAACAAAAAAATATAGTCTGATAAAGCAAAAATGTATAGCCAGAAGAATCTTATGTATACCTCTGTGGCGAACGCCTCTGGAACTTTCTGTTGGCGGCGCGGGCGAGAGCGTTGCGTTGCTCCGCTATGAACCGCTCAGCTGCGTCGTCGATGTCTTTCACTGGGCCTGCGGATAGTGATAACATGAGAATATAAAGGTATACAGGGTGGAAACGATAAGTGATCTCACTCGATTATTTCTAAACTATACAAGATATCGAAAAACTGGTTACTGATCCTGAAAGTACTTCACAAGCTCTTTCAAATGTTACCAATAATAGGTTACAGAATAAACTGGATCTATCTGAAAATTAAATTTTTCCAGCTTCCATACATTTGTTAAATCCACATAATATTAAAAACACTTTCAGGATCAGTAAATAGTTTTACGATATCTTGTATGGTTTAGAAATAATCGAGTGAGATCATTTATCGTTTTCACCCTGTATGTGTTAAGCTCAAACATAGAAAATGTTCATTGAGCGAGAAGACAGCTCACAACGCGTTGTGGTAACTGTAACATGTTTTCATGTTCTGTTACGGTCACTTTTGAAAACCCAGCCTACAAGAAACACCACTAACAACCTCTCTGTCATAATACTAACACCAGTTACACTTCGTTTGTGCATGTGTTACAGGAAATGTATGAATTCTAGGAATTGTATACTATTCCTAGGAAATGTATACAATTCCGAAGCTATTTAGGAAATGTATAAAATATTGCTTCAGAGATTTTTTAATACGCACATATCCTAGGACATGTATACTTTTCCTAGGAATTTTATAGAATTCCAATATTGTATTAGGAAATGTATAAAACTAAGCGGCACAAGCACGGTCATGTGATTTAGTGCCCCTCAGTACGCCTAAAATTTTATTTAGACAAACCACATTGACCGATAGGTACTTTTAACTCACAACTATTATTGTTTAGCCTGAAAGTTGTTTTCGCACTATTATATTTTGACTGAAAAAAATATTTGCCTATTGGTATGCCTTTCTTTCGGCATCACGCATATTACGCTGAAGTATTGGAAAACCCTAATTTTAACATATCTTTAATTAAACTATTATTGACATGAAGGTTTTAGTACTCCTGTAGCTGGATAACAAAGTCTCGGTTAGGTTAGGTTAGACTTGCGACCTTGTAACATACACAGCGGCCGCGGCGCGGGAGCGCCATTTAAGTTTCGGAAAAAAAAAAGAAATCTTAATTACATTTCCGATTGCTGTTTAGTAAATGTGTAAATTTCCTAGGAAATGTGTCTAATATAATTTACATCACACATTTCCGGGTGATTTTAGGACTTATACACAAATCCTAGGAATTGTATACAATGACGGATTTAATACATTTCCTGTAACACATGTATGGCCATTTTCATGAGCGCTCACAACACGAATTTCGCAAAATGTATTTTTTCAGCAACTATAACGTGTTGTGAACTGTTACTACGCTAAATGCTATGAAATGAAATATTGATATAGACACATGCTGAAAGGGAATATAACATTTTTCGATCATATTACAATTTATATGTCCTATTTGATTTGGTCCCCCTTTTTAACTCTAAGATCTAATCAGTCTCAATATCAAAGGTATAGTTAAACACAGAAATCAAACAGGCAAAAATTATTTTCGCATTTCTAATATTAGTATAGAAATAAAATAAAAGAGAGGAAATCATTAGTAATTATAGTGAGGAAATCATTTAAAATTAGTTTCTTCAATAACACAGTCAGAAAGTTATCAACAAACAAATAACGTGCTAAATACAAGGAAAAACATTCAATCGATAGCAAACAAAAATTACAACACACAATGCAAACAAAACTACACTACACACGGCAAATTGTAGTGAACAACAATAACTACACACTACAAATTTACCGAATTTGCTCTCCAGGGTCGGACTCGGAGGCGGGGACTTTTGGATCCTCGTAGGAATGTACGCTGGCAGCCCGGTTACTGAGCATACAGAAAGTTGCCTTTACACTTGACCACAATTCATACACCATCTTAGTGGAAAAATCCTCAAAAAATAAACAAATTTTACTGTTGTAATTAACATTTCTTAGCGGTTAGTCGCTTCTTAAACTAAATTTTAAATAAACAACTTGAAAAAATTTAACTGCCTAAGGCGGGAATTGAACCCACGAATGGCAAGCAGAAAGGTTTGTTAATGTTATTACTACAAAACCTACTCGTTAAAGTATATTGGGAAATAATAGCACCATTTTACTCTTTGCTTAGTGTTTTAGTTAAAATTTTGAGATATGACATTACTTTGTAATGAAGAAGTTAATAAATAATAAGAACATGCTCACTAAAATAGCTGTAGGTCCCCAAAAATTCGCTTCTATCACCTCTATGTCAATACATCCTGTTTATTTACGATATTTTAATAACTTCACGAATCCTAGGCTGGCTGTGTTATGATTAGGATAGTTAAAATACTAAGCAAAGAAACTTACCCTCAACAGGATGTGTAAAATTCCCTTTGAAGTGCGGGTTGATGAGCACTTTCTTCCCTGCTAAGCCTCCAGGCGGCAACAGAGGCGGCAGTTGTACCGGCAACATGATCACCTCCTGTTCACGTTTGGGCACAAACTTGTTCACACTGTCCACTTTGTTCACACTGTTCACAGCCACCGGCACGTGCTGACGTATCGTCACTTGAGGTATATGACCTGCCCCAGGCATTATTTCGCGCACTGGAGGCCCGAAAGGCCTCGGATTGAAGTTGGGTCTGAAGAACATGGGCCTCGGCTCGAAGTTAGGCCGAAAGTGCGGCTCTTCCGGGCGAAATTGGAAGCGCGGGCCGAAAGGACGAATGTCCGGACGAAAATCCGGCATTAGTGGGCGTTCCGGAGATATTTCGGGACCCATCTGAGGCGGCATGTGCGGATCGTGACGTAATTCCGGTCGCATTTCTGGCGGAAAGTCCGGGCGAATCTCTGGCGGGAAGTCCGGACGCATATCTGGGCGCATATTTGGACGACCTTCAGGCCTCATATTCTGATGTATTTCAGACCGCATATCCGGACGCATGTCTGGTCTCATATCCGGGTGCATATCCGGACGCATATTCGGATTCGGATGAACTTCAGGGCGCATATCCGGCCTCATATCCGGACGCATGTCTGGTCTTATATCCGGCCGGGTGTCTATACGAATATCCATTACTTCCGGACGAATTTCAGGTCTGACTTGATGGATTTCCGGACGAATCTCAGGCAGCACGTCCGGTCGCATCTCGTGGCGCATTTCGGGCCGGATATCCGGCCGAACCTGCGGCGGGGTGGGGCGTATTTGTGGAGGGGGGAACGATGGTCGCTGGTTAAAGTTGCCCTGTGAATAAATAAATCCATTTTAGTTCTGCAAATATGCTTCAAAAAGCGCTTAGTCCACTTCCCAGTATTGTTTTAACGCTATTACCAGGCCTGTTCATCTCCGCGGTTTACATCGAAAACAAAACACGCACGATGGCCCACCTACAGGATACTATTTGACAAGGCCTCACATACGAGCCAACATTGACTCACGCACGCGTATTCTTGTGTATGATGGAAGAAAATAAAGAAAATGGTGTACTAAATACTGTGCAGTATTTAACTGCCTAAATAATAATAAAAACACAGAATGTACTTTTTTAAGTTGCCTCAAGACACTGAGAGGTAAATAAGTAGTTAGTTAATATTATTCATGATAATTCATGCTAAATCATGTATTTCCTCTGCCATTTTCCGCAGTTTGGCACCTCACGTCACATCATTTTACCGAAGTCAGCCCTATAGCTTCGGCGCAGTGCCGATCACTGACGTTTGTCAACAAAATGGTGCTTGACTCTTAGAGACAGGCTAAATTACACCATATTGTTAATGACATTGAGCATACATTTTTTTAAATACCTTCGCGAAGCAAAACTTCTGTACATAGTACTTATTATTATTCTGTGCTATTACTGTTTGTACCAACTACCTTTATGAGAAGTGACGCCTGTTGGGTGCAGTCATTTTGCCACAGTTTATTATTTGTAGCTATAGCTTTAGTAGCGCATTGCTCCACTCCACACACCGGACGAATACGAAGTAGTATAAGTCTGTAGGTGGACAGACGACCTTTTAGACGTAGGAAACGAACTTCACCTAGAATACCCAACCTCAGAGGTAGGAGCTTACCTCCAACTGCCAGAACTTTAGGATAGGACTTTAGGTAAGTTGGTGGTAGCTAGCTAGGCGGACTTAGAACAAGTCTTACCACCAATGATGATGATGAGCACACTGTAAGCTTACCCTGTGCACGTTTTTACGACTAGGGGTGATGCGGCCTAAACGCGGCTTCAACTGTTGGTTAAGCCACAGAATAATAATAAGTACTACGTACAGAAGTTTTACTTCGCGAAGGTATTTATGCTCAATGTCATTAACAATATGGTGTAATTTAGCCTGTCTCAAGAGTCAAGCACCATTTTGTTGACAAACGTCAGTGATCGGCACTGCGCCGAAGCTATAGGGCTGACTTCGGTAAAATGATGTGACGTGAGGTGCCAAACTACGGAAAATGGCGGAGGAAATACATGATTTAGCATGAATTATCATGAATAATATNCGAAGCTATAGGGCTGACTTCGGTAAAATGATGTGACGTGAGGTGCCAAACTACGGAAAATGGCGGAGGAAATACATGATTTAGCATGAATTATCATGAATAATATTAACTACTTATTTACCTCTCAGTGTCTTGAGGCAACTTAAAAAAGTACATTCTGTGTTTTTATTATTATTTAGGCAGTTAAATACTGCACAGTATTCAGTACACCATTTTCTTTATTTTCTTCCATCATACACAAGAATACGCGTGCGTGTGTCAATGTTCGCTCGTATGTGAGGCCTTGTCGAATAGTATCCTGTAGGTGGGCCATCGTGCGTGTTTTGTTATCGATGTAAACTCGCGGAGATGAACAGGCCTGGTTAAGCCAAGTCGTGCTTTTATTACACAGACACACTCGATTCTAGAAGAAAAAGAAGATTATAATCTTACCCTGTGCATGTTGTTACGTCGATAAGGGTGCTGCGGCCTCAGCTGTGGGTTGCGCCACGTGGTGCGACCGCGGCCGCCGCGGGGTATCACCACCTTATCTGCAATCGGGTAAGGTAAGAATAACATCATCATCATCATCAACAGCCCTTTACAGTCCACTGCTGGACTATGAGCCTCCTCCACTATAGTGGAGGGTTTTGCCATAATCCCCACGCTTGGCAGGCGGGTTGGAGATCGCAGTTTAAAAGATTGATGTTTGTCAGAGAGCGCTGCTGCCCGTTCTCTGTTTGATGTGTAGTCCCTAAGTCGCCTCTTACGACACCCGCGGGAAGAGTAGGGGTTGGTGACAAATGTATTCTACTCTGCCGTCACCACACGGCCACAAGAATAACTAAGAGTGTTATTTGTTGACTATTCTGCCTAAATGTCGTTAGGTAAGTGGGTCTCTAAAAAAATAAAACGACTGTCTTCTTTGAAAGCAAGAAGACGAGTGGATTTATTCATAGATAAATCAGATACAAGGAATCATAGACAAAAAAGGTTTGGGTTATTGTTTATGATATTTTACAACAGGGTCGTTAGGTAAGTGTCGTTAAATAAGTGTTATTTTCAATTAAACTTATTGTATTAAACTGAAGTCTATATAGGGTCTCTAATCCTACTAATATTTTAAATGCGAAAGTTTGTATAGATGTCTGGATGTTTGTTAGGCGGTTATCACACTGCGCCGCGCTCCGCCGCGGTACGCGGGACGACAGATTTAATCATTGTATGTGTTATGTATGTATCTCAGATCATAGAAAGAGAATAGATATGAAGTCGCGCGTAACTACAACGAGAACCAGTGTCCCCACATTTCCCCCACCACAGCTCCCACACACACATTGAACTGTGTAAAAACAAAGCGACTGAGAGTCTACGACAACATGTGCAACCGGCTTAAAAGTGCTGTGATTGGCCAGAAGGCGTGCCTTATGGCCAATCAATGGCCGCGTGACGTGACGCACACTTTGAAAACGCTAGTGAGAGAACAAAGATAAAATGAAGTCGACAAGATATCGATACTTTAAATCGCTAGGGACAAGGCTCGAAACTGGTTTCACAAAATGCTTATGAATGAAAACCTTTTTATTATTATACGTTATTATTAACTACTATCAAGCATTTACTTTTTAATTATGGCGATCTGCGTACCGCATATTATGTTTATCAAAAATAATGCCTATATTAGGCTTTCAACTAGCTCTTATTGTAATTACCTAGTTGACAGTTAATACTTACTTCTACTGTTTTTATTTTTTTTTTGCAAAATTTTATAATCGCAAGTAACACATCATTATTTTATTTAAAATTACAAAATAGAAAATTATAATTTACTTCTATTTATCGATAATAGGAAACCGCATTAGAACACGAGCACGGCACTATGTTACGACCGGCACATGCGGCCGTACTGTGTATTTTCACACGACAGTGGATATCGGAAGAAATTAAATACATTGCGCAGTAGTTGAGCATGACATAAAGTGGTTGCTAACTAAATCGTCAATGTACAAGTGTGTTAGAATTTTTATCACCACTGATTTCGATATCGCAGTAACTGTTACGGCACTGAATTCGTTCGTAAAAATGTTTAGTTTTTTTTATTTATAAGCAAAATACCAATGGATTTGCAATACTTACATGTAGTAAATGACTCCATTGTTCCTGTAGTTCTTCGTTTCACTTGTTTTATTGCACGTAACGACGCATTATCCAAAATATCGGAGAACATTTCCTTAGTACGACTGAATCGCGACTAACCTAGCTACGCGGCCGATGTTCGTTTCTGGGCATATCGCGGAGACACGCGCCACGCCCCCGTTTCACATCTATTTCCTTCTATGATCTGAGGTATGTATAGTTATGCACGTATGTAGTTAGGCTCGCAGTTACGCCGCTGGGCGCTAATAAATCAGTTTACGTTCAACCGCTGTCTTATTGCTACGTACCTATCTGTATGCAAGTACCTCAGTTTGAGAAAACACGCGCGGCACTTCACACTGACAACGCGTCCGCGCGCGTGATTCTTTATATGAAAATCACGCGCTCCGCGGCGGAACGCGGCGCAGTGTGATAACCGCCTTACTCTTTCACGCAAAAACTACTGAACGGATTTTGATGAAACTTCACCACACATAACCCTGAATAACATATAGGCTATAATTTATGACGATCTGTAACAAATTAAATTCGGTCTCATTTCTGATTCGATCTCGCAAAGAAACCAAGCATAGCTGTAAGTTATTAATCCTTCAAGCTCCGCGAATCTAGACACAATAGATAATCAATTGTTATGACATTAATTAATGCCGTCTGGGACTCAATCGGTTAATATACTTTTTAGAACGTTTCCTACACTATTACGACTACTAACTTTTAGAAACAAGTTTTGTTAAAACTCACCCAAACTGTCCGGGATGTCCCGTATCTGCGGCAAGCGCTGCGATCCGGGAGTACGCTCCGACGTGAACCTCTCCCGGGGAATGATGTGGATCTCCCCATCTAACGCAAAATAATGTATAACATTAAAGAAAACATGAAAACCTTGTAGTACCCTTATGTCCAAAGGGTACTACAAGGTTCGAGACTATTGATGACAAGGATGCGTGGTCAGTTCAGTCTGCACATATAATTAAATTTGGCTATTCTTACTGTTAGAAAATTCCTGGCAATTAGTGGTGACTGAGTTTGTTCCGGCGTTTCTTCTCAGCACTTACCATATGTTTGTCTCAAAGCATTGGTAGGGCCCAAAAGACATGTAAAGTGCCCCATAAGGGCTACCTTTTCTTTTTTATTTTTTAATACATTTTGACGTTCATAAGTGCCTAAACTGAATAAATATTTTTGATTTTGATTGATTTTGATTTTGAGAGAATCTCCTTTTTTGAGTGAGTTATTAAATAAAATTGCCAAAAAAAGGATTTTATTACCATAAAAACTCATAAAACCCATTTATTTCTGCCAATAGGCTTTTAAAAAGCACTTTTACACGTCCCAGTATTAACCCTACCACTGCTTCGGGACAATAAATGGGCCAGTGCTGAGAAGAAGCAGCGCAAGAAACTCAGTCACTATTAAAGTAGTAACTTCGCCAGCCAGGCTAGGACGTGTGCTCTGATAAAATATTAGACTGCAAAAAAACTACTAAAAGAAAACTTAATTCTAATAATATTCAAAATTTTGATGAAAACTTACACTTACTTGATGCATTTGGTGGCATATCGGATGGCACGATCTGTGGAGATTCCAATGGTGCTGCAGGCTGCAGGAGAAAACAAAATCATTGATACAAGTAATTACAAGGATAAAGTTTTATCCTTGGAAATTATTAGAATTGGAAACTAACGCCTTTATTCACAAACGACGCTTACAAGTGAAGCAGAAAATCGAAAGCACAGCGTTGAATAGAGCTCTGTGATTGGTTTGTGTGTCACTCTGTACGTCCACGCGCACGGTGAGAGCTCATAGTAATGTTTGTGAATACGGGCGTAAGATACGTACAGGCAACAGCAAACCAGACACCATATTTCTGTTGCAAAATAGCTTCTATTACAACGACATAAGATGCCACCGTGTTAAGTTTGATGTGCTAAATTCTATACATTCAACACCATGGTACTTCTTGTTTGTCAAAGTGACCTTCCATCCAGTCAGATAAGTTTATGTTACAACTTATGCATTTTTAATAGACACTTTTGCTCAAAAAAGTAAATAACCGAGAATCTAGCTAGGAACTTTAATACCTCTATTATCATAATAATTATGCCACAGAATATAATATTAGTTTATTTATTTGAGCACCAACAATTTTAGATTACACACAATAATAATTAAATGTTCAGTACCAAAATATTAATCAGTACTCACAATAGCTGGTGGCACTACAGCATGTTCAATCTCATACGCCGGGGGCTCGTATGGAGCGTACGTGGAGTGGTCCGGGATCGGAGTGTTGGGGATCTCCACGGTTATGTTGGGCACTACACACTCCGGCTCCACCCCAGGCTGATATGGAAGCGGCTGCGGATATAACATAATGTTATTAATTGTGTTATTTGTTATGTGGGTCATTCTAAGTTAAGAGGTACTTTCGATGGCAAGGGCAAAAAAGTACATTTTTTTTATTCTAACTACCTAATTAACCTATTTATTGCTTAAAACTAAATGTCTTCTACATGCTCACTTAAATTTATTACAGAAATGTACACAGTTTAGTCACAATAAGTTCTAATACAAGAAAAAAGTCTCTCCCCTGGGCTGTCCCAAACCCGACTTTATTTGTAAACCAGTTATTATGAATGTATTAAAATTAAATAATTACTTCATCATCGTTAATTTTATACAGAACAATAACTTAGGAACACTGTCTTATAAGTCAAATTACATAAATTCAAATTTTTCATAAATAATATCAACGCCGAAATTTGTCCTCCGTATTTTGTGTCTCGTCCCCTGGCTTTTTGTTTTTGTTTAAAAATCAGTTTTGTTTTACTATTTTGTGGCAGTTGTGGCCTTTAGTGCATAGGATGTAACGTGAAGCTATCAAAAAGAGGCGCATAAGCCGATTGCGAAGTCATTTTAACCGCCATTTCAATCACGCCTCTCGCTGGGTGTAGAAGTGTTGAGTGAATGCAGTCTTTCCTCTGGTAAGTTTTATTTAGCAATTATTTGTTAAAATACTAATGTAAACTTCAATATTTACTATGAATAGTGCATACATTGTTACGTTTGGTTGTGAATTGCGTATGAGAAACACTTTTACGGCTATTTTAGATATTGATCGAAAATGTATCTCCCCTGGCGTATTTCCCCTGGCTTTTTTGATGGCAGGGGAGATTCTTAATGTCCAGGGGAGATACATTTGTATGCGTTTTCATGAATACTTCTATATTTTTAACTGAACCTTTACTTGGTATTATGTATATCTTAGCTTTACAATTTAATATTACTTTTTTACAGAAAAAATGGCATCTAGAAAGCTAAAGCGCTTGAGAAAACCTGCCCGAATATGAAAATTTTCACCGTAGATATACCGTAGACATACTATCGGAAAAAGCAGCAACATTAGGTTCTACTGAAGGTATAAAGACTTTTTTAAAGGTAAAGGTTCACCATGTTACCGGTTGCGTATTTATACCTAATTGGCATTATAAAAAGTTTGAGATGCTTCTGTGACTCCAGAGTTATGTCATCATTTTGAATAGGGTACCTACTTTGGATTATCCATAAACACCTGCTAGAGTCACTGTTTTTGTGAAGGAAACCACGCAAAATCTTTTCGTCCAAAATACCTCAGTGCCTATAGACGAAAGTCTTCAATCAAGCAACCTGAAGTGGCAAAGGCCATGACACATAGTACGCAGAACTAACGGCCGATGGGGCAGCAAGGTTCTGGAGTGGAGACCTCGTACTGGAATGCGTAGTGTAGGACGTCTACCCACAAGGTGGACCGACGACCTCATAAAGGTCCTCATAAAGGAAAGGGCTGGAAGCAGGCCGCCACCAACCGGCCATTGTGGAAATCATTGGGGGAAGCCGATTTTCAGCAGTGGACGTCCTATGGCTGAAATAATGATGATGAATAATTGATGATGATGTTTTTTTAATCTCCTGGGATCAGGTTTTAAATAAACTACCCTACCCTAAGTTAAAATTGAGAGGGCAGCATTTTTTTATGCTTTAATGAATCTATTGATGTCTTTGAACGCAGGTATTACATAAAGATTTTTTTTAGTTACCTCTCAAATTCTCAATTCAAATGGTTGTTTAAGTACAAGAAAAGTTCAATACTGTTTCAGAGAAGTTTTTGTTTCTTTTTATTTCGTTGTTGACTATTGATAATTGTTTTGATGGAAAGTAAAAGTAAGAACCTTTTTATGTTTTGTACCTAGGCTTAAAATACATTTTTGTTAACAAAGTTTGCTAAAAAATGAAGTCTTATTATAAATAATTCATAATTAAAATTAAAATAAATAATTAAAGTTGATTCCTAAAAATAACACTGTTTTTAGTATGTCTATGTTATCTTCCCTGTCCATAATGTTTCCTCCCCTGTGCACCTTGTCTCTACCCTGGACTGAGTATTTACCCTGGTCGCTTATAAAACGAGAAAAAACCAACAAATTGACTGGCCACTTTGTAAACATTTTCAACTTAAAGGTTTCCATAAAACAGATATATACTTAAGTAAAAATATTTTAAAAAATGCCGTGCCGTCGCTCCATACAACACATTACCTCTTAACTTAGAATGACCCATGTAATAGTTTATAAGTCCACGAGAGCTACTGCTGACAAACTGTTGCACAGTTTGGCAGATCTGATTAAATTGTAAATGTACTGTTACTTGTAAAGAAAAGAAGAAATAAAATAAATAATATATTTCATTTAAGAGTTCTATTAATACATTTTTATCACCATAAATTATTTTTGTACCATTTTCCTCTAAGATAAGTATTATGGACTTAAATGTAAGTTTTTTTTACATTTAAGTCCTGAAAACATAACTTATGTGGGTTTCTTCTGTTCAAAAAAATACCACAGTTTTAGCAAAATAATACCACAGCTAAATTCACTTTTCTGTGGTATTTTTAAAAAACTTTCAAGTTGGAATGTTACGTAGGTACATAAGTTAGTGGTTTTGGCTAAGTGCTAAGTTAATTATTTCTCTTTATTTACACTTCTGATAATATGCAGTTAATCAAAAAATACCAGCAAGTTGAGTAAATGCAATCTAAAATAGGATAATATTGTTTTGATTTCACAACAAAGTGAAACTCACGAGACTACCATAGAAAAGTTAATAAATTAGCACTGTGTGTGAATATAGATTTAACTAACCTGCGCACCATAGTCCATGCCATGTCTAGGATATTCCGGAGACACAAGATCTGGGCCAGCCCCATAATTAGGACCTACCGACGCTGGGACATTTTGCGATGAATTACTTTCGTAGTCGTCAGCAAGGAGTTGCTCCTCCTCCTCGTTGCCAAGATTGTAGTCGGCAAGGCTATGATCACCCAAATCGTCGCCTAGCAAGTCTTCACTGCAAGTAAATAGCAAAAAAACTTTTAACCAAACACATGTGACGCATAAAATTTAACATGACTTTATGACGACCTATCCAACGCAAATGTGTAAACATACGTGACAACTCTTTTTTCAGATAGTAAACTAGCGATAAAACATATTTATAAACGATAAATCACACTAAAAATAAAGAAAATATACAAATAATCGGGATACTAACTTGTCCGACATGTTGACAAAATTATTTTTGTCTTGTCAGTATTTTTTTTTGTTCACTCCACCTTGTCTATGGTTTCAAGCGCTCGGACACAGATAATAAACACATACACACAACTTTCAAAAACACAATTCAGATGGCGCATTGATCGCCTTTCGCAATCACCCCTTTAACCCCTAACACTCTAAAAGGAAGAATAAAACAATTTTATAATTTTTCATTGTTTTTGGACACTAATGCAAGTGATTATGGTTTAAAAAAAGATAACCCTCCTGCTGGCGCAGTCGATTAATAAGATGCGAACTTTATTCTGTCTGTCTTGTTTGTGTAATAGGTACCTTTCCGATATAAATAACATAGGTACAGTGCGAGTCTTCATAAAGTGCGGGCACTTATGAAAATGGGTGTAACTAGATCCATTTTTATTTTAGGAAAACATGTAAAAAATATCCGAGATTTTTATTATTTACTTATATAACTTTTGAACTAAGAGGTATCCTTATAAAATAAAAAAGAGTAATGATGTTAAATAATAATAATTATGATAAATAATAAAATACATAAAATAACCGGGAAACGGCAACAAATAATAATAAAATGTTACTTTTTGAAAAAATCTGTATTTTAGTTGATTTTCTCGAAATAATGCCCATTATTTTGGCTTTTATTACTTTGTATTATTCTCCATCGTAGCATCTTTATAAGATCTAAATCACAACGTTTGTTAAGAGCGTTGATAGTAATTTAATTTCTTCTTCTTTTTGCATATCTCGTAGATCAGGCACGAAGCGAAAATTACGCCGACAGACTGAAATCAAAAGTTACCCAAGTTTTATTTTTAAACTTTAAAAAAATATTTTTCAAAGTTGTTTTGTAGAAATTGGAGAGGAGATGACAATGTTTGAGAAAAAAACCCATATTTAACTTAAAAATTTAGTAAAGAACTTAAGTAAGTAGGATTTTTACAACCAACATTTAAGAATAAAATTTACCTCGATGATTATTACAGCCAAAACAGCATAGAACACTGCATCAGATATTGAATTGACTAATTTCATTACAGCTTTTACGCATCCATCGTAGGCGTTTTCTTTGGAACATAGTTCGATCTCGGAGGATTCTGGCAGAGGACAGCAAGTTATTGATAGTGTCATATTAAGTTTTTCATACGATTCTGCACCCGTCGTTCCGCAACATTTAAGCTGGATGATAAGATATTTCATCATTTAATTTATCATCAACATTTTATCAATAAAAAGAAACCAATTAGATAAAATATTAAATGCCCGTTTTTACCATCAATCCCTAATTTTTTTAAACACTTAAGTGTTACCTATGTGGGTCACTTAAAAATTGCTGTTCTTAAGAACAGGAATTTTGTTTTCAAAGGGGTCAATTAAAAATTATCGATTGATGATAAAAACGGGCATTAATAAAATTGTAAGATAAGTAGATCTTATTTTCTTTTCAACCATGCACTCACCAGACTTTCCATTAAATAAAATGATTCTTGTGAGTGAGGGTCACTAAATATTTCATTGAGTGCATCTTTTACTTCTTCTTCGATCAGTGACTGACGTAATTCTACAACCACATAAATCTTAGCGGATAGTAATATTGTCATAAACAACGTAAACTGAAACAAACGATACATTTTACAATAAGTAAGTCTACTCATGCTATTCTTACAAATCACGCAAATTGTGCTTCATAAGTCTTGAAAGTATAAAACAAAGTTCTTTTTACATTTATAAACTCAAAGTAGGTAAGAAAGAATCAAAATAAATTAATATACAGACGATAGCGCATTAAGGTAAACACTGTGACATTATTAATTATTATTTAGGCTGTTTAAATAGGTTTTTTTGCAATAAATGTAGGACTTTTTAGTCTTCATGTCCCAAAATTGAACGATAAGCTGGCTCCATAGGGTGGAAAAGATCATAGTTACCGTACGAAAAATAAGAATAAAAAATTTTTAGTAAGAAAAATAATTTTAAGATTTATTTTTCTAATTTTTCCTAAAGTATTCTGACCTTGTCCACCCTATGCGCCGGCTTATCGTTGAATTTTGGGACACGATGTATAACTTACCACTAAAAGAAGGTATGTTTTTTCTGTGATAACTCCACAGCAGCCAAATAGGGCTATTAAAAATAAAAAGCATCCGCTGATGATGAACCATAATGATAAATAATTCAGTTCATCTTTGTTCGAGACATCAAATTGAGAGATGACCAGTGCACCAATCGCTAAAGTTCCAATACCCAATATCTGAAAGTTCAAACCAAACGTTTTTAAACAAAATAAATAGGTATGTACTTACCTATTACTTAATTAAAGACTGTTAACCCTTGAAAAGGAGGCTGACAATAGTGACTGAGTTTCTTGCGCTGCTTCTTCTCAGCACTGGCCCATTTCTTGTCCCGAAGCAGTGGTAGGGTTAATATTGGGACGTGTAAAAGTGCTTTTTAAAAGCCTATTTGCAAAAAAAAATGAATTTTATGAATTTTTTTTTTTTTTATTACTATGTGGAAAGTGGTTAAAATCTTATCTGCCAATTCATAATAATACCTACCTACTTAATAATATTAATATCACCTTCTAATTAATACTTACAGAGTATAAAGAATTTACAGCAAACAAAATATATTTCACAATATTGATCACACACCCCATGTTTCCCACTGCACTTTCATGAAACTAAAAATCGTTTGATAGTTCGTAATAAATTATAATCACTATCTCTGTCATTATCACGGCAAAGTAAGGGTTACTCATCTATAGACAAAGGATGTTCATCTAATAATAAAGTGATTCCCCGAATACATACTTATTGTAACCACACCAACAAAAAAGAAAACATTTTTGCAAGATATAAAAGTCCTTTAAAAAGTTAACACACTCAATTAATAATGTAAAGTAATAAATAATACTTACTTAGTTACTTAAGTATACCTAATTTTATAGAAGTTCATGAAAGATGATTCTAAATTAGGAGAATCAAAAATGAATAACGTCGGCATAAGTAGCTACCAGTAAGATAATAGGGGGTAGGTATTATACCTCTACAATTGAACTAAACTGCATTATAAAACCTAAATAACTTAAAAATCTAAATATATAAAAGGAGAAACTGACTGACTGACTGACAGATCAACGCACAGCCTAAACGGCTAAACGTAGGCACTTGAAATTTGGAAGGGACGTAGCTTAGGTACCGTAGAGGTGCACTAAGAAAGGAATTCCCGAAATTCCCACGGGAACGGGAATTAGCGGGAAAAACGGGATTCACGCGTACGATGTCGCGGGCGGCCGCTAGTAAAATAATATAGACAATAGACATTGCCATACGAAAATCACATTTTTTTATTATTATTTTTATGCCATGAGATTCTTGTAGAATACCAATAACCTAGTTTTGATCAACGAACATCATCATGTTTTATAGAAACTTTGCCAAAATTATTTTTATTTAAACGAACATTCCAGTATTCATTTAAGCTTTTTATACCCTGCTGTATCTAGATATTCGTTTCTGAATAATGGAAAAACATAACAATGCAATTAGTAACGACTTATCGCTACTAAACGTAAATATTTGCATTTCTAGATAATTTTGAAGTAGGCACTTACGGTGCCATAATATTTGTGGCCATTGAAAGCTGGGCAATGGGTAATTCACTGTCACGGTGTGCCAAGATATTTGCAGGTACACTGAAAAAAATGTTTGGTTACTGTTTACACAACAAAAGTGACCACCAAACACTTTGGTTATGAGGAACAAAATGTTGTGTAAATAATTCTGTAGTGAGCTAGACTTAGTTTGGTTATAGTTAACACTTAGTTCGATGGTCACTTTTGTTGTGTAAGCAGTAACTAAACATTTTTTTCAGTGTAAAAGGTAAAGATCGCCGTTAAACTAAAATCATAAAAAATACGGACTACCTATTACTTCCTTGTTGAATGTCCTAGTTAGTAGGCATAGAAAATAAAACTTCTTTTATTTATTATAATAGAAATTTAATGCTATCATTTTTTAATCAAATGTTGGTCCCAAGCGGGTTATCAATTTATTATTATCAATTATTATAATATCAATAGTCTACGGATGTCAATAATTATTTTTGTTCTCTCCCTGCATTTAGGTCGCAGATCAGGCACCAAGCGAAAATCACGCCGACAGCCTGAAATCAAAAGCTTTTTTTAATCTCAAGTCTTATTTTCAGAGCTTAAAAATAATATCGTCATGTGATGACGTGATGTACATAGTTCAAGTAACGTAAAAGAGGACTAAAAACTACGAAAATATTGTGAAGCTAACTACTTAGTAGAGTTAGTAGGTAGGTTGTAATTGGAAACTGCCAGTATTATTAATGAACTCGACTATACAACTTGTACAGTCGAGTTCATTAATAATACTGGCAGTTTCCAATGTTTCAAAATATAATTATCAGCAGTCATTATTATAATACAGGTAAGTATTAATGAACTTTTCTGTTTGAAATAATTAACAATATAAAAACTTATCGTCTACCCCTTTCACAACAAAATAAATAATAATATTTACCTCGATGATTATAAATGTCAAAACAGCATAGAAGAGGGCATTAAAAATTTTTAGGCATCCATTGTAGGCGTTTTCTTTGAAACATGGTCTTGGTCGGGTTCTTAAGAATTGCGTTTCAGTAGGGCAGCAAGTTGTTGGCAGTATTGTTATATTCAGTTTTTCATATGATTCCGCACCCATGGTCCCGCAACATTTAAACTGGATGGTAAGAATATAATTATTTCAATTATTTACACGTTATTTACTAATACTGTAGTTTTACCCGATAAGTAATAATGGGCCATTACCAGACCCTCTTCAAGAATAAAAATAACAGTAAGTATTAGGTATGATTATGATGATTACTTACCCCACTTTCAATTAAATGAATTTGTGCTTTGGGATCACGTGCCAATGCATTATCCAGTTTACCTACGACTGATTCTTTGAACGTTGGGCTACATATTTTTACAACCACATAAATCTTAGCGGCCAGTAATATTGTCATAAATAACGCGAACTGAAACAAACAATCATGTTAGGTACTTACATGTACACACAGGTACATCTAAATCCCAGAAAACTAAAAAAGTAAAAACCAATTATTTCTGATCTGACCACAAGTTGCACAGTACAATCTACAGGGTGTTAGGTAAATGGGTATATGAGCCGACACTAGCCCATGTTAACATAATCATATAAATGGTATGGTGAAGACTGAAGTCAGTTTGATATCATTTAATTTTTATTTATTTTTTATTTTCATACAAAATAAATTTCATAAAATCCTATTTGTATGAAAGTTAAAATAATTAAAATGAAGATATCAATTTTCTGACTTCACCATACCATTTATATGACCATGTTAACATGGGCTAGTGTCGGCTCATATACCCATTTACCTAACACCCTGTATATTGGAAATGATATTGATTATGAATAATAATTATATCTCGACGGTCCCTACGTATAATTCAGTATCTACCAGTCCCGTGATTTGCCGTTTTTGTTTGCAAAACCTTCAGAGCACCCAACAGTTTCGACTCAGTTAAAAAACATACAGTTTTTATTTAAATTGAACCTTAAAACGTCAAAAAACAAATCCCGCAACTACAAAATTAGAACGATTTCCGCAGTAAAATTGCATTACTGGGAGTTAAGAAATTTTACGATAGACCGCACGCCTTACTCCGCGCGCCCAGCCCCGCAACTGCCACTTTCATTCGCGCAGATCGAGTAAATTGATACGTAATTTATGAAGGAAATAGGTATTATTATGGTTTCTGACTTAATTTATTTCACTCAACATTATACCAACGGCAAATTTATCAGTTAACTGTAGGCATAAGGTAGTTGCGTTGCGTTGTTTTACTCGGGACCATTAAAGTTACTATTATAAGTAGGTGGCACTTACTTATTTTTACGTCGGAAAATTCAAGTATCTTCTAGCCGTAACTGCCACTATAAATGTTTTACTTTGGAAAAGTTTGTTTTATGTCTGTAAGTTAGTGCCAGTAACGGTGTTTTACGCTGAGAAATTGTATTTTAGCAATATCTGGTGGACATTAAAGTGAAGACAAAACAATATAAAATATGATATACAACACGACTGAAGTATCTAGGGTCATTTATTAGACTCAACGCAACCAAGTTCTTCTCCTATGCTACTTTATAATACAAGATACAAGTAAAAAATCGTAAAATTTATTTTATTTATTTATTAAGCATATTAGGGCATTCAGAAATAAAGATAAGCAGGTAACACTTACAAACAAAAGTTTAAATTAACTGCATTTAGAATCTACTACTTTACATGACAATGCTTACCTACATGATATTGCAAACATATACCCGTCAGAAGGATGAGGTATACCCACTAAAAATACCCTGGTGACCCGTCACTCGCTATAAGTGCTAACTTTGAGATTCCGGACAAAGATCTCCCACCTACACGGCGACAGTTGAGAGGAGAGCAACTATAAGTACACAGATTTTCCGTACACACACTCACCATCAGCAGACGGTGGTGGTGACTGGTGGCCTATCTATGCAATGCCTCCCGTGCGGCCTCACGCCCCCGTTACGCTGGCCATTACCGAGGAAGGAAGATAGAAGGCAATCATACTGTCACCTTCCCTGGAGCGAATTCAAATGCACCCGCACTTGGTTCGTAGTCGCGCTATCATACTGCAGCTTCTTGCGGCACCTTGTCTTCTCAGATAGAGGTGCTTCATTACCACCCAACTTTTGTTACCGTCCACATAGCTTTGACTATGCTATCCCGCAAGAATATGGTGTGTCGTATGCTCCTAGCCACCGCAATACAGGTAGGGCTCGAAGGATCCGTGCAAAGTCATCGTGCGATCGCTAGAGCAACCTTAAACTTCAGCACGAGTGCGAATAAGGTTCGGCGACCCAACTTAGCCACGGCCCACGGCGAGGTGGTTTATCAACTATTAGACTACAGCACAGTCTAGCGAGTCTCACGTCAAACGGCCTCTCTGTCCTCCTATGGCGGAGGTTTCACCTCGTTCTTCACGCTGCGTTAAAGCCGACGATGTAGCCGTGTAGACTTTCTGGGCCTGTTAAGGTCTTAGAAGTAAGGCATCACCCTCATAGGGTTTCCATAGCCTTCCGACATAGAGTTTTCGGACCTCCAAATTAGGGAAGCAGCCACGAAAAAGCAAGCTGTCTTCCATTCGCACGGCGACGGATTGGAAAAAGTGCGAGCTGCCACTGGTTATATACAGTTAAGGTCACCGTATTTGCGCTCACTACTTGGCGCCACTGGTGATTAACAGGATAACTCTTAGATATTTCATCTGGGCCTTAGTTTTGACAGTGGTGTGGGCATCAGGTGAAAGTGTCAGGGATGCCTTTAAATTTATGTGGTCCCTGGCCTAGGGCCACCATAATGTCGTCTGTTTCGCCCAGGCAACCCGCCTCGCTGTGAAAGTTATTTATTTATTTATGATGATATGCTTCGTATAGATGATACCTTGAAATATCCATGCCCTTGAAAAGGGTTCCATTTAGTACCCAGTTGTATTCAATGTTCCACAAGATCGAACTCAAAAAAGAGCCATGTGGATCTTAGGACTCGATGCCATGCTGTCAAACCTGGCCGGCACTATTGACAAAGAAAATTTACCGGTTCTACAAGTATTCTTCAGTCAAAAGACCCCTTAGATAAGGAAGAATCTTAAGGTATTGAGTGCCTCCAAAATGCATCTATCTGGGAAACGAGGCGGGACGCTGTTATGCCTCGTCGAGCAGGACTATGGGCCTAGAGTGAGAGTTACGGTCAATAGTAGCTGAAGTTTGTTCCCGTGTACAATTACTTATGTGGCAGTTAATAATTTAAACAAATATATTACTCCGACGTAAAAGTTAGTAAGTACCACTTACGTCATTTGTAATTAGAAACTTTCCGTTGTATAAGTGAGTAAATGACAAATAATACACTTATTGTGATTATTTTTCGATAATTCTTCATGTTTTATAAAATATACCTCATATAAAACTATTATGTCAAATTTCATCAATGTATGATAAATAGAACGCGAGCTACACATGTTTAAACCTTCAAACAAAACAGCCAATTTTACAGGAGAGCTCCTGTAAAATTGGCCGTTTTCAGATACGTTTTTATACGTACTAATACGTAGGTACCGTCGATCTGTTCTACCTTAACCATACAGTAGGTAACTTTATGCATAATATGTTACGGTTAATGTGATAAATTGAAAATTATGAATAATAACCGGTTATTGTGAATAATTACTGACAGTCGCGGTAAAAGTGATAAATTAATAACATTTAACAATGGTTATTTAATAATTCAAGCTTAGTACTAACAAATAAAAGAGAACAACATTTTTGTGTACGTGCTCTTGTACAGCCAAAATTTTTGAACGTTTTGATATCATATAGGTATTAATATAATTTGGCATAATGAGTTTGGAATGTTTCTTGCATAATATTACTTTTCCATGATGCCCATAACGTTTTGATTTAAAGTGTAAAATAGGTTAAGGTGCGGCGGGGCCGCTAAGCCGCCTATTTAGTTTTATACACACACACAAACGACCTCATATTAATCACATTTACCTAATCATGATGTAATTATTCATAATAACCGGCGATTATGCATAATTTTCACATTTATTACATTGACCGTTACACATACTGAATTGAGAATTTAGTCGTTTTAAAAACTTAACAAATTAATTATCAAAACTTTTCAGGAAGAAAATCATCAAAATAATGTAGGCTTACAGGAAATAGGATTCGTTGGTAACGTAAGTACTTACCCCTAAAAGAAGACGTGGATTTTCTGCTATAACTCCACAGCAACCAAAAAGGGCTACAAAAAACAAAAAGCATCCGCAGACGATGACCACAATCGATACACCGCGATAAACATCCAGGGAATATTTGTACGCGATCAATATCTCAATTTCAGACTGGTACGCCAGTAACAGTGCACCAATCGCTATTACTCCAATACCCAATATCTGAAAGTTCAAACAATTGGCATACCTACTTGCGTCTTTAAACAAAATTACAAAAAAAATATTATTATGAAGATACAACTTAACAACACAATTTTATTACTTGATTTATAAAATACTCGTATATTAGAATAAAGTACTTAAGTTAATTTATGTAACTTTGCATTAATTTGGTAAATTAAGCGTTTAAGTACTGTCAATTTATTAATATTTTTATAAATGATATAAATGAACGTGGAGATTATTACTTACAGAGTATAACGTATTAACGGCAAGCAAAATATACTTCACTATATTAACTACACACCCCATTTTTATTTGAACTGCACTTTCGTGAAACGAAAAAGTACCAGTTACCAAGAGTTTCCAACCGTAAATAAATTAAATTAAGCTGATAGGGAAACGTTTAAATTATTATGATAATTATGGTTAAGGTTACTCATATAATAGGATGTTAACAATTCACGGAAAATAATATTCCTTATCTCACCACAAAATTACAAAATACAAACATTTCAGTAGGTAAGTATGTTAAAAAGACCACTAAAGAGTTAACGAATTAAATTAAACACTATAATAATATTATATTGTTTAAGATTTTATGAGTTAAGAATGTTTAATCAGTTAAAGTAAAGATTTATTATCTGTGATTTAGCTTAATGTAGTATACCTACCTACATATTTATTATAGATATAAACATTTAATAAAATGTTAAACTACTTAAATAATTTAAATAGGTATTTAGCATTAGGTATACCGTAGCCCCCCCGGTGACGAAGGTCAAGGTACCATATACAGGGTGATTTTGTAAACAGTATCCAATTTACTTAACCCTTAACTGGTATCGTAAATTGGACATACGTAACTGGTATCGTGGGGGCCGCGCGGCCCCCATACTATGTTTGCTTCTAGCAAGCATGTTTTACCTATATACTTGAATAAATGCTCATAAATGATATATATTAGGCTTGTTCTATGTAATAATTTCGTTTTTATTATATTAAATCTTCTTACTTATATACTTCAAGACATTACATAATAGTAACTACTTTTTACGTAATATTTTTTTAACGTTGCAAATATCTATGAAACCTATCGTTTAGAAAGTTATAACCAAAATTATTGTTGTTTTTATTAATCCATAATAATGTGAACTTAATAATAAATAACGTTTTAATGTAATGTTTAATAAAAATAATAAGCATTTTATAAAAATAAAAACATAAATATTATGTTGACAAACATTACCAGGTCCCGGTGCATTTTCAGACCACATGTATTTATATTTTCATAGTAGATGGATTGGCTAGGTCCTACAATATCTTCATTTTCACTCTCCGAAGAAAAAACTTGAAAATCAGATTCAATATACTCATTATCGACCGAATATTGGTTATTGGGTCTTCACAGTGGCCTATAATTTTATTATCACTATATCCTTCTTCTGACATGCTACTAATCACTAATTTGGAATCAAAAATTTCGTTCTAGGTATCTTCTATTGTTTTATCACTTATAAGCCATCAATACTGCAAAAAAACAAAAATCAAATAAAAATTGCCATGAAAAAAAAACTAACGTAACTGGTATTGTGGGGGCCGCGCGGACCCCAACACGTGCATATCTTCGTCCTGGTGAATGATGCAGTGCTGAAACGCCTGCACCAGACGCGAGTAGCGCCGATATGAGAATATCAAAAATTTTGGCTGCCCGCCCACGATGCGTAGCTTCTTAGAAATCAAAGAAAACATCATGCGTGGGGGCCGCGCGGCCCCCACGATACCAGTTAAGGGTTAACTTAATTTTTTTAGTCGAGGTATTTTTCGCAAAAAAATATGTCTATTATGCTTTGCAGTTACATACTATTACCTACTTATGTGAACGTATTTTTCTATGAACGAAGTAACTTAAATTATCCACGTGTAAAAATAATTAAACATGAAAAAATAATTTACTTA